ACCTAATCGGGATGCCTGTTCGTAGTGTATCGCGACTATTCGCGGGAGATGACTAGTGATTGTTCATGTGACTGAGATTGGCGTGACCCTTTGGGTGACTGATACGCTCGAACCTACTGTTCACGCGTTGACTCGCTATTGTTGACGTCATCACGCGTGTCCTTTCATATATACTTCAAGGTATTTTGCTACTAGTATAGTCTAAGTGTTAAATCAATACTTCGTCGAGTATACTTCAACACTCCCCTTCATTCCTGGTTGTATGTCTCCGGGCAAGTGTCGTCGCGTTTGCAGATTCCGACTAGGTTGGAGCAGTACTGAAACTTGTCACGTGGGAGTTTCTTCGTCAGAAAACATCTGCCATTTCTTCTGTAGGGCAGTATTTCAGGATGACCTTCCCTTTGTCGATCTCGTCCTTGACGAAGAAGTAACGGAGGGTGATGTGTTTTGTCCTGCTGATGAAGCGGGGCTTGTTTGCAATCTTGATTGCGCTCATGTTGTTGGAGAGTAACTTGAAGTTACGTGTCATTGTAATTTTTGCCACTTAAAGTAACTCTTGAAGATGAAGTCCTTCGCAAACCACAGAGCTTGCTGCGATGAATTCTGTTTCGGCTTACGAAAGTGCGATGACCTCCTGTCTCGTTGAGTTCCAAGAATTTTCACCACCTGGTTCAAGTTTGAAAATGAACCCTGTTCGTGAACGCCTATTGTCGGGGTCAGTAGAATGATCCGCATCAACGTATCCAGTCAGTCAAAAATTTGCTGCAGTGTTTGTCATGTAGCTGAGTCCGATTGTAGGAGTAGAAATGAAATATTGGAGGGCTCGACGAAGATCGGCCATATTCTCCCCTTCAAGTCGGCGCAGGTACTGTGCGAGCTTACTCGTGATGTAGGCAAGATCTGGGCGGCATGTAACGGCTGCAAATAGAAGACATCCGAGGTGCTGCTGGTAAAACCGATGCTCTGAGGTGGTAAGTAGGGTAGTATCAGGTGTGATTTCGGCCTAAATGTGACAAAATGGAGTGGTGAGGCTGATACGAGCGATGGCGAACTTTTTCGCAAGTGTTTCTGCGTACTTGCTTGCAGAAAGGTAGATGGCATCGGGACTGCAATCAACGTTTCACCTAAGAAATTGGGTGATGTTGGAGGAAATTCTTCAAGAATCGTTTGGATTCTTTCCTCCATGCGTGCCAGAAGACTGTTGCACGAGCCGGTGTACAGTAAGTCGTCCACGTAGGCGACTAGAAGAATGTAATGCCCTTGACATTTTAGTATGTACATTCCAGGATCGTAGGGCAGCTGCGCGAAGTCGAGTGAAATGAGCACTTTGTGAAGATGCTGCTGCTACAGACGAGGAGCATGTTTGATGCCAAAATGTGATTTAAGTAACTTGCACATGTGAAGTTGGTCGCTGTAAGTGTGAGGGAGTTCGATAAAAATATCTACATCAATGTTTGCGCATAAAAACACATTTTCAACGTCCAGTTGGCAAAATGGAAGGTGGCGGCTGGCAGCAATGGCGAGAAAGATTCGAATTGAGGTATGGCGGCTGACCGGAGCAAAATTCTGGTCGTAATCGATGCCGTGGGTTTGTTCAAAACCTCGAATGAACCATCTCCCCTTGAATTGGTCTGGTTCGCCTACTGCATTTGTCTTTATGCGAAAGACCCACTTGCCCAAAAGATTTTTATTACCGCGTGCTGCTTCACGTGGAACGAGTTTCCACGTTTTTCGCTTCTCGAGAGCTGCTACCTCTGCATCCAAAGCTGCTCGCCACTTGTCAGCATCAGAGTCAGAGAGGGTCTGCTTGGCTGTTTTCGGCTCAATCCCGATCGTTGGTTGCTGAACTGCGACAGCAAGTCAGAGGATTTGAAGAGCCGGTTGGTCACCACGAGGATGAGGTTGGCAAACATCGACAACGTCATCATCGTCGATTTTAGATGGCAGATGGCGGGCACCGTCATGTGATGCTGCATCAGTTTTCTGTCGGCGCAGGTGTTCCTCATAACTATAGGCAGCCTGTGTCGTGGCCGGACGCAACAAGTCCGAGAGGGGAATGAAGACTGGAGTGTCGGTGTTGTTGGCATGTGTCGAAGGAATGTAGGAGTCGGAACAATTTTTCGGCTGCTAACGTAGATGGCTGTGGAACTGTAGAAGGTCCTGCTACTGCACTATCGGGCAGATAATATTATCGGCTACATATGCTTCGTCTTGAGGAGTGGCGAAACTCCGTTCGGCATTGTAGCGATCAGGATTCCGCTGTTGGCGTTCCTTGTCACGCTCGAACTCATCGAGAAAAAGATTCTTGTAGAAGATGCAATCTTGGGCGTACAAAACCTTTCGAGTGTTGTAATCCATAATTATCCAAGAATAGGAATCCTTGGGTACACCAAGGTGCATTCCCCAACGAGCCCGTTCAGTAAATCTGCCCACTGTTGCGCTCGGAGGTCTGTATTGGACCATGCAGCCCCAAACTCGTTCTAGTCGAGATTCGGTGGGGTGTTTTGTCCACATGACGTGTGGCGAGCTGAAGTGAGGGAGAGCTGTTGAAGACAAGGAGTTGTGTAGGTGGACAGAGCCATCGCAAACGGCCAGAAGTCTGCCGTCAAGCTGGACTGTTGCAGCAGCACGCGCATCTTCTCTTGCTGCGTTCTGTTAGTTCTCTCAGCTATTCCATTATGTTGATGGGCGTAAGGCACAGTCTGGCGCCTGGGTATCCCTTTTCGCGCCAGAAATTCATCAAACTGCTCGCTTGTGTACTTGCCCGCGTTGTCAGTCTGGATCTCTTTCAGCTTGATGCTGCTTTGCCGCTCAACGATTTTCAGCCATAGATTGAAGGCTTCGAGTGCCTCAGACTTGTGAGAGATATTCTTGTGCCAAACATATCGAGTAGCACCGTTGATGAAGGTAATTATATAGTGGTAGTCGTTGCTGCTGATATCCTTTGCTTCCTGCAGCATGAAGAGCATGTCGTTGAAGACGATGTCCATAGGTGATTACTTTGTAGCACTCGGAAAGTGTGACGGGAACGGAGCGAAACTTAGGTGCACTCCGTGGCAACTGGTGCAGGTTAGCTGACGACTACTAGGTCGAAGCTCTTGGCCGTTGGTTAAAAGGAGAGCGTCCTTGTCAAAAAACGAGGCTTTAATCGAATTGTTAAGAGCTTATTGCGAGGGATGACCTAACCGCTGTGCTAGATTTCTGCTGTAGTCCTGTGTCCCTTTGAACGCAGGTACAAGTTGGAGTGAAGGAAGAAGGTTGGCGAAAGATGAATCTTTGGCACAAAGTTGACACAGCGGCCGGTGCCAAAAGGTTGGATGAACACGGTTTCTTCTGCGGTTTCAACCCAAGGTATGTCGAGATCTCGGCGACGCGCCCAAGCATAAGGTACGATTAACTCTTTCTTGCCCCATATGCATTCAACCTCCATAAGTTCTTCGACTGTAGCAGATGTCGGCGGTTGATTGTTGTAACCCCAATTTCCATCTCCAGATGCCCATGTACTTTGAACTGTTTCTGCTGCTGCTGATGCTGCTTCTGTTGGCTTGCTGCAGGTTCGTCGAGGGAGTTGGTGCGAGAAGGCTGAGGCGTGATGCAGAAGACATTGAGAACACGATGGTCTTGGCGTTGGAGATCTGTTTCCCAGTGATGATGCCAAGGAGCAAATGAGACATTCTTCTTACTATCGCCACATGCCTTCCCAAGTGAAAACCGTAAAACGGAAATGCCGTCTTAACTTCTGCGATGCCGACTAAATTGCTTTCATCTTCCTTCTTGTCGCTCAGGTACAACTCCGTGAGCATCGTGTTGCCGTTGCTGACGAAGCAGATGCCACTTTCCACCAGCTGCCTTGTAATAGTAGGTTGAAGCCGAGCCCTGTGACGACGAGAACCTTGTCAAGGTGAAATGAAACTTTTGTGTCGTCGGACTCTAGTATCACATCTCCGATCCGGGTGTCTTAAATTAATTGATTGTTGGCCACTGTGATGTTGTATTTTTTTTCCTTTTAGCAGGTATCGCCAGTTGAGAATATAGCGACTTAAAGACGCCATGTGGTGACCGTAGCAACTGTCAAGAAACCAAGTGTTAACATGCTCGGGATACGTACGCTTGGCGATGTGGGCGTACGGCTGCACGTTCAACAGTCGAGAAAACCCGTTCGGCTGCTCTGGTTCTGCTTCATTAACAACGGCCGGTTCTCGAGTTTCTGAACGAGGACGAAGACGTGGAGGTAGGTTGGCTGCTACTTCTTCCATGTCACGATCGTTGCCTTCATTGTCTCGTCGGCTCCAGTAGCGTATACCACTAGACCAGTGTGGTCCAATCATGCAACTAATAATTGCCTTGCGTTTTGCAGGTTGAGTTGAAGAAGCTAAAGGCGGTGAGATAGTCTTGACAGTGGCGGCTTCCACACAAATAGTGTATAGGCTTACGGGAGAAAAAACCAGCAGCTACATCAACAGGTGCATAAATCTTCGGGACCAGCTTGGCAAGTGCGGAGGAAATCTCAGCAACGAGGTCTTCGTCACTATTTACCAGATAGTCTCAGCAACGAGGTCTTCGTCACTATTCTTCTGAAGCAACACCTGAAGAAGCTAAAGGCGGTGACATAGTCTTTCCTTTTGCATTGCTGTAAGTTGAATTAACAGCTTGCTCTGTGAAACGGAATCTTGTGCTAGATACAACCTTCGAGGGTAATCCTAGGCGTAGAAGGCTGGAGTGAGTGAAGGTTTGAAGCACCAAACTCCCAACTTCTCTCCAGGTGAGAGATTCCACACAAATAGTGTATAGGCCATAAGCAAATACTTGTAATAACGCGCTTGTTCTACGGTCGATCGTGTCTCTGGATAACGGATTGTACCATCGAAATATTTCCAGATACCAGAAGATTACGCAAGGAGTTTGAACTCGAATCCCCAAGTATAGAAGTTGCAGCCATCAAAGTAAGTTGAGGTCTTTAACTTGGAGATAGTTAGGAAATCCGTTTGATTTACGACAGCTTCTATAGCGAATGGTATTTATTATGCCATTAGATGATGATGTTGTTGTTGTTGTTGTTGTTGTTGTTGTTTGTTGTTGTTGTTGTTGTTGTTGTTGTTGTTGTTGTTGTTGTTGTTGTTGTTGTTGTTGTTGTTGTTGTTGTTGTTGTTGTTGTTGTTGTTGTTGTTGTTGTTGTTGTTGTTGTTGTTGTTGTTGTTGTTGTTGTTGTTGTTGTTGTTGTTGTTGTTGTTGTTGTTGTTGTTGTTGTTGTTGTTGTTATTGTTGCCGTGTTTGAACAGGTCGTCCATGGAAGGCAAAAGACCCAGCAGATTCATCTCTAGGGGCTGAAGGCCCAGCGGCAACAACAGCTCTTGCATCACTAGATTTAGCAAGGTTCATAGAAGCTATAGGATGCGTTGGAGCTTGATGTTGTTGCTGTGTAGACTGATTAGTGATCAAGGAAGCGAAGTCAGATAGATCGTCAGTAGAAAGACTAGAAGTAAGAGAATTTGTGGTTGAATTTCTTGTCTAAGTAGCTGACATAACTATGGATCTATAGCTTAAGCTTAAGGGCATAATCGAAATCAGCTTGTATCGGTTCCAAACTCCACTAGGTAAATGTGCCCCCCATGCGAGACTTGTTTGCTATTTTGGAATTGATGTAACAAAATATTCAAACACATAGCAAATCTGAGGTGGGCATGCATAAATCTCAACTAGATAGATTAGGAGGGTAATCTCAGAGTAGAAAAGTGATTAGAATGAGGCATACAGGTTGGTTTTGTTCAAATATTTGTACCCTCTAAGGGCATGCAACTATTTAGCCTATTATAACGTATACAAATATGTTTGACACACCCCCTAGGGTAGATGAGGGGCAGTGCCTGGAAGACGACACGCAGCTCAGGGCGGCACTACTAGTCTAGCCCCTGAAGCAAAGCTTCGAAGACCAGTCAACAAGAGTACAAACAAGACAAGAGCAAACCAGGGCGGCACTACTAGTCCAACCACTGGAAGAGAAGCCACAAAGCTAGTCAGAAAGGTATAAATAAAGAGAAGTACACAATCAAGGTCCTAGCAATTGAGTAGCTACAGGAACTACACCAAGCTGCAAACAGTGCCGCTGATGATCTTTAGGCGGAAGCGGCTTAGTAAGGATACCAGCTGAGGCCAAGTGTACTACACGGGCCTGGCGACGCTGCTGTAGCTCGCGCAGGAGGAAGTATCGCAGCTGGATGTGCTTTGCTCTGCCCTCCAGTTGAGGCTCCTGACACAGGAGGATGATGGGCCTGTTGTCAGCGTACAAAACTGGGGCAGAGCTAGGCTGCTCACCTAAGTCTGTGAGCAAGAAAGTCAGCCAGCGGAGCTCCTCTGTCACAATGGCACCAGCGTAGATCACAGCCTTGTAGCTAGACTGTGCAACTAAAGATGAACGGGTGGACCTCCACGAGATCGTGCCTGCACCAAGGCTGAAGCAGTAGCCCTGAGAGGACCTGAGGGTCTCAGCGTCGTCTGCCCAAGAATCGCCAGTGTGCCCAGTAAGGACCACTGGCCTGCGTCCTCCAAGTACTAGCCCCATGCCCGATGTACTTGCTAGATAACTCAAAACCCTCTTAGCAGCCGACCAGTGCTGTGGTCAGTGTCTGCCTGTGGCCACAAAGCGAGCCAGAATGCTGAGAGGGTATGCAAGATCTGGACGAGTGCAAGTTATCAGGTACATGAGGCAACCTACCAGCTCTGCGCAAGGACCACTGGGCTCTGCTGACTCCTCAGGAACTGGAGCTGAGAGCCTGTGGTATACTGGCAGAGATGTGGGCTGTGCGGAGAAGAACTGAAGACCGAACCTCTGAAGGACCTGGCACACCAAGTGTGACTGTGTGAGAGTGATGGTGCGCGCTGCTCTATCCCTGGAGATCTGCAAGCCAAGATAGCGGCGCAGCTCTCCTAGGTCAGTGCATGTGTGTCTCCTCAGCAGCTCGGCCTTCAAGGAGGCCAGTGCGTCTCTGTCAGCAGTCGCAAAAACCAGGTCGTCTACGTAGACAAGGATGTAGAACAAGGTCTGGCCAGTACGAACGAAGAGCGAGGGGTCAGAAGAGGACAGAAAGAACTGCAGGTCAGCTAACGTAGCACGCAGCACATTGTGGCACTCACGGGGCGCCTGTCGCAGGCCGTAGACCAGGCGCCGAAGGAGCCACTGGGTCCCAGGAGGGAAGGTACCAGTAAAGCCCTGAGGACGGCGCAAGTAGACCTGCTCGTGTAGGCGGCCCTGAAGAAAACCAGTGGAGAAGTTGAGGGAGTGGAGTTCGTAGTCAAGCTGTGCTGCGATGTGTAGCAGCGCCCGAAGAGTACTCATCTTCGGGGTCGGGGCGAAGGTCTGAAAGAGTCACCCCCCTCGCGCTGACTGAAGCCTCTAGCCGCGTAGCGCGCCTTGAACACATGCGGCTCTCCAGTAGGGCTCTTCACCTTGAAGAGCCACCGGCCATCCACTACGTTCACCCCAGGTGGGGGAAGTGCGTCGACGTAGGTGCCGGTGGATCTCCAAGATGCCATCTCCTGCTCCATGGCAGCTATCCACTGAGAGGCCCAGGGTCCAGAGGTCGCCTTAGCATAAGGGTTAGGGGTCGAGATGTCAAAGGCGTCTGGGTTACCCTCAGGGACTAGCAGCATGGAACAGAGATAGGGAGCAGCCTCGGACAGGAAAGCAAGCTCGTACTGCCTGTCCTCTAGGACGTCACTGCCAAGGGCAGGAGCACCCCCGACGGACGGAGGGCAGGCAGGGCCAGAGACTAGAGCGGTGGCATAGTCAAGGCAGCGTGTAGAGGCGAAGTGAGCGACAGAAGCGACAAGAGCGTCAAGACTATAGACAAGGACAGACGGGCCGGTAATGAGGGAGGCAAGGACCTGTGGAACAAGGGGACGAGCAGCACAAAGGTAGTCAGATAGAGGGGGAGGCGCTATAGCGAGCGACGACGGAGGAGGAGACGGTAGGAGGGGAGGATGAGACGCGTGGGAACGAAGCAATATGGGGTGAGAGCGGTGAACAGGAGAGACAGGACGAGCACGAGAGGGACGGCGAGACCACACGTGAGACGGAGGGGTCGGGTCGGGAGGCAGAGGAGGAGACACAAGGGGGGAACAAGTCGGGAAACGGGCTGGGAACGAGTCTGGCGAAGGAAACACAGGACCGTGGACAGGAAGGGGAGGAGGCGGCGGGGGAGGCGCAAGCGAGCGGTCAGTGGAGGGAAGGCCGTGCAGGAGAAGGGCGGACACCGGCGGCGACTAATGCTGCTGCTGTTGCTCGACACCGACACCCTGACCGCCAACAGCACCACGGCTACCTCCGGAAAAAATATAAAGCCCATGTCTTATGTAAAATGCTAAATGAATTTGCGTTGTAATAGGCACTCTGAGGCCATAACTTTACCGAGCATCTGCTAACGTGGAATCTGCTACAGAGATGGCACGCTCTTACAGGGTCAGTTCGGTGCCTCTGAAAACGGTGGGAGATTGATCCAGCAACAGTGTCAGGTGTCCTTGACCACCCCAGCACCCCGAGAGCAAGCACCCCCAGAGCGAGAACCCTCTCCAGCACTGGTGCCACCCCCGAGCCCGTATGGAGAAGCCTCAACAGGAACCCAGGACTAGCACCCGCCTCAACGCCAGCACCCCCAGAGTCCACGAACGGCTGCTGCTGCTGCAACGGCGTTGATTGCTGTGGCGGCGGCGACTGCGGCTGCGACGACGGCTGCGGCGGCGACTGCGACGACAGGGGAGGGGACACCAGGGGAGAGGCAGGCGGCAAGAACTACGCCGCATGACCACTTGAGTCAGCCGACTCCTCGACCGGAACAACCGACGGGAGGGGAGTGACGTGAGACACACCAGACGGAACAGGACGGGGAGGGAGGGGAGCAGGGGCTATTGGTGGGGAAAGCGGGAGACCTTGGTGTGGAAAGCAACGGTAAAAGGAGACAGACTCGTCGAAAGTAACGTCACGCAAGTGAAGGAAGCGGTGAGACGGCGGGTGGTAATAGTGCCAGTCAGACGAGTCAAGGGGGAAACCAAGGAAGACACTGGGGGTAGTGCGGGCAGTGAGCTTGTCCGTGCCAGAGGCACGAACGTGAGCGAGGCATCCCCAGACGTGGAACGCAGATGCGTCACCAGGAGACCCACTCCAGAGGAGGGTCGGTGAAACCTGCGACCGCTGGGAGTGGGGTTACAGGTTCAGCTGGTGAGCCGCGTAGCGAAAAGCGAACGGCCATAGAAAATGGGGTGCACTGGTATGGATCATGGAGGTACGGGCCACCTCCATGACCAAGCCAATGCATCGCTCAGAGACCCCATTCTGCTGTAGGGAATCCGGCAGGGTGTACGGCTGGGTGATGCCCTCCGCACGACAGAACCGGCCAAGCCGACCGGAGGCAAACTCGCCGCCACGGTCGGAGTGGAGACACAGCACGGGGAGACCTCCGCGGACTCGCCCTGCTATGACCCACGGGATCCGGAAGGTCGGGCATGTCGGCCTTCCGCTCCAGAGGAAACACCGTGGTGTAGCGCGTGTAGTCGTTGACAAGCACAAAGAAGTAGCACTCTCGACGCGGCCCAGGGATGGGGGCTCGACACCAGACGTCCAGGTGCAGGGTCTGGAGTGGTGCGGTGGCATGGCGAAGCGAGGAGGAGTGAGGAGCACGGCGAAGCCGGCCCTCGACGCAGGGCGTGCACGGTAGCGCAGGCGAGGGAAGGAGGGAAGGGAACGACGCAGGGAGACCTAGGACAAGACTGTGGTGGGACATGTAACGTAGACGCGGAAGTGCAGGGTGACCGAGGCGGTGGTGCCACAGCAGCGACAGGTGAGTGAGCAACCGACACGAGCAAGCCACGGCTACTTGAGAGGACACCCTCATCGGGGGCGACCCAGTGTCAATGGTAAACAGGCCGGACACCGGGTCCTGGGGGAAAGTCGCAAGGGGGGCACCTGAGGATCTCGGTACAGACAGCGTACAACTTGTGTCCGGGGAACGTGGTGGTGACGCCGAGGTCCTGAAGACAGCCGACACCAACTAGGTTCCTAGAGAACGAGGGGATGTGCAGGCCTATAAGAGTGCCCGAGGGGGCCGCCGGGCAGGGAAGGGTGGTGGAGCTACGTGCAACTACCAGACCAGATGAGGGGTCTGCAAGTGCAACGGTGGCAGGAACGGCAAGCGGCGTAAGGGAAGTGTGATTTCGGAAGAAGCAGGTAGACGCACCGGAGTCGAGTGTGAAGGAGAGCGAAGTGCTAGCGGCTGCCGGCGAAGGGACTAGTGTGGAGCCTAGGCTAAACAAGGTAGGGGATCCTACGCTTGACACAGCAGGGGAGCCTAGGCTACACACGGTGGACACACCTATGCTAGGCAACACCGGGTAATAAGATCCGATCTTATAGAGTCATCAGCATACATGACAGACATAGCATTCCTAATCTGATCCATGTCAAGCTCAAAGATTGGCACACGACAGCGCGCAAGGGCGTACCAGTCCGGAGGGTCCGACGCAGGACCGAAGCGGTGATGGAATAGGCCGTCCAGGCTCTGATAGCAGTGGTCGGCGGTCTCGCCGGGCCGGAGGCAGATTGTGCTGCGGCGAGGGCTAGTCTGAAGCTGGTGCTGGCAAGTGACCGCGCTGGAGCTGCCACCCGACACCGAGCTGCGCTTGCCCCCCCAACGACCACCACCACTAGCGCCGCCAGTCCACCACGGCGGCGGGGGTCCCCACGGCGACTGCTGCTGCTGCGCTGACAGCGACGGCGGCTGCGGCTGCTGTGACTGCTGAGGCTGCTGCTGCTGCTGCTGAGGCTGCGTCTGCTGCTGCGGCTGCTCCAGGGCACCTGCCCTGGTCCCCTCGTCTGAACCACCATCCCCGCCCTCACCGCCACCACCCTCCCCACCGCCACCCCCCTTCCCTCCACCACGGCCCCCTTTGGGGCGGCGACCCTTACCCGGACGCTTCTGCGCTGAGGCCGCAGCAGTGGTCTCAGCAACAGCAGCAGAACCGTCAGAGTTAGTGCACTGGGAGGGAGCACAGCTCTAAAAGATAGGTACCACCGCTAGACTTAGCGATACTGCGCTGACGGGTCTCTATCTCACACAGGACAGTGACAAAGGTGGTGAGAGTGAGGTCACCCGGGTGCTGACTAAGGAAGTGGTTGCGGGCTGTGGCTAGGCGGTCAGGGAGGCGCGTGGCGATGAGATAAAGGGTAGCGCAGAACGGCCGCAGCGTGGCAGCTCGTCAGTGAAGGGAAGGCAGTGAGTTTTGCCTCAGTGCTAGCAGCGCGGTAGCTCATCTCAAGTGCGCGGAGGTGCGTGGCCTAGGACGAGGGCGGAAGCGCGGGTGGGCGGGGAGGACCTAACATAGCGGGTGATACCATCTCAGAGTAGAAAAGGTGACTAGAATGAAGCATACAGGTTGGTTTTGTTCAAATATTTGTACCTTCTAAGAGCATGCACCTATCTAGCCTATTATAACATATTCAAATATGTTTGGCAGGTAAATATGATGGGTTTGTGTTGCCTTCATTTGTGATAATCTTGTAGAAGGGGGCACAAAAAGGAAAGAATGCGCATGTTTTGCTAAACAGATCATGCAATAGAGCCTAGAGTGACCCAATTCTGTACATCGTTTGCATGTCAGCGGGGTAGCCCTCAAAACTTTCTGCCTTCAGACAAACAACGTAAAAAAGATCTCCCCCCAGCACGTGTCCGCCTGCATGTTCCAGGTGCGTCCGCTCAACTTGCTCGGTCGGGTCAGACCGACAGATGAACGGAACGCGCAGCAGCTGACGCACGAGGCAGCGGAAGTTCATTCTCTGGCATTTCCCCAACTGAGGTGGCAATCTCCTCTCTCCCTTCCTCATTGGTTGGCCTGAGATCTACTGTGGCTGACGCTGGAACCGTTTCTTGAATTTCACCAGATGTGGAGGAAGAGGTTGCTGCCATTTTTGATTCGATTTGCGTTCTCGCAGTTTCTGGCAGTTGTTGCTGTCACGTCTCTCGTCAAACCAGGCCTCTCTATAAGCCCCAGGGTATTGCGGAGGGGGACGGAATCGCCTCTGGAAACCCGTTAACAGACATAATCCCCCCGGAAAAACGCGTCAACTAAAGGAATCGGCTGCTACAAATTCGGCTCGCAAGGAATTCGGGGGAGGGGAGGCGGGGGGGAGGGGGGAAAGAGGGTGGGGTTGGGGGCTGCGTTGTCCCCAATGGATCGCCCTACTACAAGTATACCCCCCGTACGGATTTGTTTTTTTTAAGTTACTCGTTGGGCTCAGGGAATCGAGCGAAATTCATTCCATAAGGTGGACGGATTCGGCAAAAAACGGAAATGTAAAGAAACGGAATCGATGGAAATGTCCCTCTTAATCTCTCGGCATTAAGAATAAATACCCTATTAGCGAGATGCCTGCTTCAAACCTTGCCTTTCAGGGACCTGGATTTTGCTTTCCTGTTCTCGTATGCCTGTACAGCAGTGCAGCGTGTCCAGCTTTCCAATTCTGTAGTTGATTATACACCACATCTACACTGCTGTAAGGGGAGACTTGTTATTTTCTACACTGTATGTGCATACATCCCTCGGGTCATGGTCTGTTGCGTCATTTCATTTCCCACACACACGTCCAGATACGGGCAGCATTCAATCTTACAACCACAGATCATATTGTTGTGAAGCAGTCCTCAAAAGGACACCTTTCTGACGACAATTCGCGTCGCTGGTTCCGTGGCCCGCTCGCATGATCCCCCCGAACCGGATGTCCTTTACATGCCGCTGGCCCATGCGACGATTATCGCCAACGCGGAAGTCGCACTCCTACGGGACAACCAGACAACCGACCATTCGATGCGAAACTTGAGAGACGCCCACCAGACCAGACAGACAAGTCTACCCGATGTGCCCCATAGAGCTAATCTTTCAAGGGCAACTACTCTGAATGTGAGTCGAATAAAATGTATTTTATCAGCCTGCCCTGAACATAAGGGCGTGTCACTAAAGTACGTCAGAGAAGATATCTAGATTTCTAGAACGGTCAAAATAAATCTAGAGCGGTTTAGTATGGTAGTTTGCCAAAACGATTTTTAGTGACACGCAGTCTCGATTCTCTCGGTCCTTGAGATGAAGGGAAATGCGCCGTTGAACCCTGATGTTTCTAGTAGTAAAATGATCGTAGCGGGGCGGAAATGGTGAAAATCAATTTCTACTCACATCTCCATATTAACCCCTTGCAAAACAGTTTTTCCTACTTTGATACTAGGGCGTAGTGGTCCATAGTGCTAACAGCCAGTCTCTGTGGATGTACCAAGTCCCGGTAGCACCCGACGTGGATGTTCCTGAAGCCAAAATTAATGGACTCCGCCCTCCCCACACCCTACTTGAGAGTTTTCAAGGGCGCGGATGATTTGAGCCCTGATCATTAAGGGTAGCGTTCAGATGAGCACAAATACGTAAGGGTGGCCGGAAACCAAAAGTGAGCCCCCCCACATCTTCGTCTCGTCGCCTGCCCCAGCCCTAGCCGCCTTCCACGGGAAGAGGAAAATGAGCAAACCACCCCTGACTGTATGCAATGCAAGCAGCAGCATTGCCAGATGCATTTTCCTCCACTCCTGTGCTGCAGGTCACCCTGCCCCTGCCCTGACGAACCTCACTCACTCGCTGCCCCCTGTGTGGTGTGGTGTGGAACTGAAGAGGGCGTCATCCCTGCACAGCTCTGCCTTGCCCGCCCCGTCCCGTATCTCCTCGTGATCTTCGTTTCCGCGTCTGTTCCCACACTCGCATCGCCGCCAGCTGTATACCTCGTCGGACTGGTCTTCTGTTGTCTGTTTCAGGTTTGCATTTCACTCTGGCTGTGTTCAATGATCTGCAATACGTTCCAGAACGGTCAGGTAGGTTTTGAGCGAAAAGAGGAACTTCAAGGACACGCCCCAAGCTACTGTGTCTGCCAGTTCCATTGGTCTTCCTGGCAATCGCAACCACCGCGGCCGCTTCGAAAGGCAATAACTTTTCCAACTTTCACCAGAAATTCGTACTTGAAGTGGACCTCATATCCTCGTCCTGTGTTCACAGGCGCGGCTGTCACGACCCTTCCCCTCCTAGAACCCTCGACTACGCGTCCTCGCCCCATCAGGAGCCGCTTCAGCCGTGTGCACAGCCAAGGTCGTCCTGCTATCAACGTACCGCATCCTCAGACCACCAAATGCTTAGTCTCGAAGCGCCGCGTCGAGGCATGGCGCTTGTCGAGCAGTGCACATTCGACAGCAGCTATGGGTATCCCGCACCTAGTAAGCACAGCCGGCAGCGGTCCGCCACCGATCTTCACATGTCCCCTCCCTTCCCGTCCGATTACTCACCTCCCGCCCCGCGCCTACATCACGGAGCTCCCCACAGTGCCGTGAGTTGCGGCGAAATCCCCCTCGAGAGGGAAGGGGAGACCGGGGCTTCGCCCCACGCGTCGCCCCACGCGCCGCCCCACGCGTCGCATACATCATCGCCAGCCCGGTCGCCGCTGCGACAACGGGAGGCAAAGCACAGAATCGCACAGCGACGGCGCGGCAGCGAATCGGATCTTCTCTTCCCCCACTCGCTTTCCAACCCGCCTCCTGCGCCGCTGCCCTCCCGGGCCGTCCCCCAATCCCGCTCCGGCGAGTTTTACATCCAGCCGCGACTGCCCCGCGCGCCGTCTTCTCACGGCCTCAGCAGCGCGGGCTCCAATGCCCCCTGCGGCTATCACGCCCCGCGGCTGTCGCTCGACGAGAATGCCTTCGTCTCGGCGGCTCTCACGCCCGGCCGACGCGTTAGCAGTGGCGCCGGCTCAGCGGACATTTCCCTGTCGCCGACGGCGCTCGCCGCCAGTCCCGCGGAGCAGACATCCCCGTACGGCGCGGCGATGGACTTGGTGGCATCGGCGCAGCAGCTCATGGAGGAGTGCCGCGCGCGCGGGATCCAGTGGGAACTCGACGACTGGGAGGGGGCAGACGCGCGCAAGGGGAAGGCGCGGATGCCGCAGTCCGCCAGCGCGGGAAACGGCGAGGCGGGAAGGGCAGAAGCGGGGGGGTTGACTCTCAAGGGCATTCGAGGGAGGAAAGCCGGGCGGCAACGACCAGCCCGCGGGCAAATCGTGGGCGGATGCAGCGGCCCGGGCGGCAAGTCGCACCAGCGGATGGCGAGCGTGGACGAGCTGCTGAGCGAGGCGCGCCACGCGGGGCTGTCGAAGAGGGCTGCTGCCGGCGGTGGCGGCGGTGAGAGGGCCAAGGGCGGGCTGAGCACGAAGCTGAACGGCGGCGTGGGGGGAATCGACATGCGGTTCTTCCAGGAGTTCGACGACCTGCCGCGGGCGCTGCTGCACGACATGCTCGCGGCGAACGCCCACGACCTCGGCGTCGTCGGGCGGAGAAATGGTCAGGAGGACGTGGTGGCGGACGGTCGGACTGGCGCGAGGAGCAGAGCGCGGACGGGCGAGCGGAGCGCGCCGGCGCCGCTTCGGCGAGGGGCACAAGGAAATGGCGCGTGCGGTGAGGCTCGCGGCATTTGGGAGGCCCTGGAGGCGGACCTCGATGGCGACACGTATCTGCCGCGCGGGCCGGCGGCGGCAGGCGAGGGGTTGCTGCCGCGGATGCGCAACGATAAGGCGGAGGATCGCGACCTGTACGACCAGCAGTTCGAGGAGGATGGGGGGAACGAGGCGCAAGGGGAGAACGCGGAGGAGATGCTGCGGGAGCAGGTGAAACTCCTGCAGCAGAAAATAGAGGGAATGGAGGCCATGCTCGGGTCGCGAAAGGGGATTGACGCGCAGTCAGGGCACTCCGCGCTCGCTCCGCCCCCTCAAGCTTTGGGGAGCCGCACTCCCCCCCCCAACGTGCCTCTGCCGCGCAAGCGCCGCGTGTCCGCGCAGTTCCCCAGCTGCGCGTCCGTGCCGTCCTTCCACTCGTCGTCACCCTCCTCGTCCGCCAAGGACCGAGAGCCCCGGCTTCCTCCCGCCGTGCCCCGCGCTAACTCGAAGCAATCGCCGCATCGGTCTGGCTCGGTGATTCATGAGCGCTCCGCCAGCCCGAGCCCGTCAGCTCATAGCCACGACTCTGGCCACGCGCTGACTCTCGGTCACACGCAAGCGCATGCTGCTGCTGAGATGGGGGCCTCGGTTGGGCCCAAGGCACGGGGGGTACAGCCGGAGCTGCAGGCGCCGCGGCGCGCGCGCAAGCATAACAGCGGAAGCCATTTGGACGTGTTTGCGGGGTTCGGCTCGCACTCGCGGAGCAGCAGCAGCGGCAGCGTCACTGCGGGAGGCAGTGGGAGCAGCGCGCAGTGGGAAGCGGTCGAGACGGCACTTCTGGCTTGCGCGGAAGCGGTTTCCGGCTCGGGGACACAAGCAGGCTCGGATGCGGGCATGGGCATGAGCTTGCACGGGGCTAAGTGGGGGAACCTGAGCCTTGGGCTGGGAGGGCTCGAGCTTCAACGCGCGCTCGCCTCGGCTGTGCCATCATTGAAGGCGACGGATTTCGTGCTCCGGATGCCCTACGAGGATATCAAGGGCCGATACTCGCTCGGGAAGAAGGAGATTGGCGAGGGCAGGTTTGGCTCCATCCGTACCTGCTTGGAGCGCGCCACGGGGCACGTGTACGCGTGTAAAACGATCTCCAAAAAGACCATTGAGGTGAGCTTATACGAGGTACAGTGTGCGCGACATTATCATGCTGTACAGTATGTGCAGGATTTTCTTCATGAAAGCATCTCCTTACCAACCCTCCGCTATTCTTATTGCAGACCAACGAGGATGCTGACGACGTGAGGCGGGAGGTGACCTTCCTCGCCATGCTTCGCGGCCACCCGTCGGTGATCACGCTTCAAGAGGTCTTCGAAGACGACAAGGCCATCCACTTGGTCATGGAGCTGTGTGCGGGCGGCGATCTCTTCGACCGAATCAAATCATGCGGCCAGATACCCGAGGCCGATGCAGCTCTAGTGCTGAAGCAGCTTCTGGAATCCCTGCTCCACTGCCGCTCGCTCGGCATTCAGCATCGCGACATCAAGCCCGAAAACATCCTCCTTTGTAGCCCCTCCGAGAACGGCCCTATAAAGCTCATTGACTTCGGCGTGGCTACAGTGCTCAAAGATGGCGAAATGTGCCGAGAAATGGCGGGAACACCAGAGTATATGGCACCAGAGGTGTTGGACGAGTGTTACAACTACGAGGCCGATGTGTGGAGCGCAGGGGTCTCCCTCTATGTGATGCTGTCAGGCGTGCCGCCCTTCTGGGAGTCGTCCAATCGCACGCTGGAGGAGGCGATCAGGAAGAAGAAGGTGGTCTTCAAGTACTGGAAGTGGGCGAGCGTGTCGGAGGAAGCCAAGGAGCTTATAACGAGGATGCTGGAGAAGGACCCGTTGGACCGCATCACGGCTCGTGAAGTGCTTGGTGAGTGGCCAGCCACACTCAGTGCAACTTGTTGGCTGTTCACGCCAATTTCACATCTCTGTTGTAAGTTCATGTTTCATAGACCCATGTCATCTGACGCTTGTTGTTCCCCCCATTCTCTCCTCTTCCCTTCCCTCTGCAGCACACCCATGGGTTCAGATGCACACCAACACGAGCCAATGACTGCCCTCAATAATGTGTCCTGACTCCTGAGCCCTCTGAAGAAGCACATATCCCCTCCCCTAGAAGGTACCTGGCTACCAAATACGAGCCAGCGTGTGGTTGGACCTGCCTAGTTCTATGTGCATGCTGCAGGCTAGGGTATGGGAGGGGCTCTCCCCAACCAACCGTCTTTGCTTCTCGGAATGGTAGGAAGTTTTTGTAGCTTGTAAAGTTATGAAAGGTAAAAAACATTTGATGGCATATACATCTACATACAAGGACAGGCTTGGGCCTGCAACAGGTGTGACATATTAGAATGGAGACTGCATTCTTGAACTTGGTGCTAAGAGTTGAGTGGACCATGAGGTACCCTTGCTGCTGGTGTACGAAAAGACAGGTAGGTCTCAATTCCAGCAAAGCTGGTCTAGGTTAGCCAGGCACCACCCAGTAACAGCCATGGCGCAGTGCGTGGGAAGCACTCCAGCATCCTACATCAAGACGAGCAGCCACCCATCCCTAAGCATCCTTGCCCGTACGCCAAGTTACCAGGCTCAGGTCTCGACCTGCCTCCGCCCTCCAGCTTTTCTTAGATAGCTTCCTAACTTATTGTACACTGCTTGGCGGTGCCGTCCCTACAGCGCTGCCTTGCTCCAACCGCCGTGTGAGGGACGGATGCAATGCAATGCAAGGCGGCCCTAAGCTGTTAATCGGTTCCGCTGCTCACTTGGCCAGCGTGCTTGTCAGTGTTGTCACGGCTGCCCCCCTAGTGGTCACAGCCCCGGTTCCTCACTATCTGTCATGTATTTCACCCAGGGGTGCTCTGCACATAACAGGATGAGCAGCATCGTGCCAGTGGGATGGGGATGAGAGGAGGAAGGGGAGGGGGAGAGGGAGGGGGAGGTAGTTGGGGAGGTGTGTTAACACAGTAAAAACGATGAGCACAGAAACATCAGCAGCTCCGAATCAGCATGCACTCACCCCAACCCACCCATCGACCACCCACCCATCGACCACCCATGCATCGACCACCCACCCATCGACCACCCACCCATCCACAACCCACCGACCCACCCATCGACCACCCACCCATCCACAACCCACCGACCCACCCATCGACCACCCACCCATCCACAACCCACCGACCCACCCATCGACCACCCACCCATCCACAACCCACCGACCCACCCATCGACCACCCACCCATCCACAACCCACCGACCCACCCATCGACCACCCACCCATCCACAACCCACCGACCCACCCACCCACAAACCCATCCATTCACCCACCCAACCACCCCAACCCACCCACCACTCACCACAACTCACCACCCACCACCCCACCCATCACCCATCACCCATCACCCACCCACCACTCACCGAGCACTTGAGCACCGAGTATCCGCATTTTCGGATCCTTGGTAAGCATCCTCTTTACAAGGTTCTTTGCGCTGTCCGACACACTCTGCCAACGCGGCGAGCCAAACGACACCTCGGTTTCTTTAATAGCTTGAAAAATTGCCTCATTAGTGGACGCCCAGAAGGGCGGCATGCCGCAGAGCAGGATGTAGAGCACCACGCCCGCCGACCAGATGTCTGCCTCGGGCCCGTGCGAGCCGGTGATGACCTCGGGGGCGATGTACATGGGCGTGCCCACGAACTCCATGCAGGACGCGTCTGATAGGGAGGGGGGATGGCAGGCATTCACATGGATACACGGGGAGATAGGTGGGCCCATGGGAAGCTGTAATGGCCCCGGGGGCGATGTAGACGAGCGCGGTCACCAACTCTATGCAAGACGCATATGGTAGGGAGGGCGGATGGCGGATATACATGGAGTGAATCAGCGGACAGAGACACGGTTGGCAGCCCCAAAGTCCCGTGGCACAGCAGCAGCAGCGCGTGAACCCTTCTTCTCCCCTCCCCCATACCTGGTTCAATGAAGGTAGCTACCCCAAAGTCGATGAGCTTGACCTTGGTGTCATCGGCCGCATCGCAGATGAGCACGTTCTCGGGCTTGATGTCGCGGTGCATGACGCCCTTCCCATGGCAGCACAGCAGCGCCTCCACCAGCCCGCGCAGCACGCGCGCCGCCCCCCCCTCGCTGTACGGCCCGTGCGCCTTCACCCGGTCGTGCAGGTCGCCACCCGTGCACATCTCCATCACTATGTGCACGTCCTGGGGGGGGGAGAGGGTGTGAAAGCGGGTTGGGTGTGGGGTGAGGGGGTGAGAGGCAGCATGTGCTGCCTCCACGCGATTGTGTTGGTTGCCACCCGGCACATGTCCATCACTATGTGCACTCCCTGGGGTTTGGAGTAGAGAGGGGGGGGGCAAGGTGCAGAGGAAGGAATGCTCTCTGCGCATGCATGACCTGCATGGGGCGCACACAACGTGAAACAACGTGCGTCAGCCCCACACACGCTGTGCTTCGCCCCACACATGCTGTGCTTCGCCCCACACATGCTGTGCTTCGCCCCACACATGCTGTGCTTCGCCCCACACATGCTGTGCTTCGCCCCACACATGCTGTGCTTCGCCCCACACATGCTGTGCTTCGCCCCACACATGCTGTGCTTCGCCCCACACATGCTGTGCTTCGCCCCACACATACTGTGCTTCGCCCCACACATGCTGTGCTTCGCCCCACACATGCTGTGCTTCGCCCCACACATGCTGTGCTTCGCCCCACACATGCTGTGCTTCGCCCCACACATGCTGTGCTTCGCCCCTGCTCTCTCCTCCACCCACCCAGCTGCTCTCAAAGGCGCCGCGCATCTCAATGATGCTGGGGTGCCCCTTGACTTGACCTCATGCGCGATCCAAGGAGGTGTGCCCACTGACTGCGAGGGCAAGCATCAACCTCTCTCTCTCTCTCTCTCTCTCTCTCTCTCTCTCTCTCTCTCTCTCTCTCTCTCTCTCTCTCACTCTCTCTCTCTCTCTCTCTCTCTCTCTCTCTCTCTCTCTCTCTCTCTCTCTCTCTCTCTCTCACACACACACACACACACACACACACACCACACCCCTCCGCCCACCTAGCTGAGCTGCTCGCTCCAACCCACCCGGCTGTCCTCAAAGGCGTCGCGCATCTGAATGATGTGGGGATGCCCCTTGAGCATCTCCATCACTGCCACCTCCATGCCCACCGCCTCCGCGTCGTCCGCATACTGCCATGGGTTGGTGTTGTGATGGGCAGAGCATGGGAGCAACAGCAGAACAAGCAAGGGACAGGCGGAATGAGGGAAAGGGAGAGAAGCCCCTTAAGCATCTCCATCACTGCCGCCTCCATGCCCACTGCCTCTGCATCATCCGCGTACTGCCATGTGGTGCTTGTGATGTGGGGGTTGCATTGCGTGGGGAAGACGGGTGCAGAGACAGCAATGAGGATGTGACGAGACCGGGAGAGGGAGAAGGGGAGGGGGAGAAGCGAGAGGAAGGGGCGGGTGGGGGATGGCGAAGGCTGGCTCATTCTTTCGGAATCTACACTCTGCATTCTCCACACACCACATTCTCCATGCCTAGCTCTCATTGCAGGAAAGGGACGAAAGGGAGGGACAAGCCGCATGGCTCTCATGCTGACCTGGAAAGTGCCCGTGCTGACCTGGAAAATGCCTGTGCTGGCCTGGAAAGTGCCTGTGCTGACCTGGAAATTGCCAGTGCTGACCTGGAAAGTGCCCATGCTGACCTTGAAAGTGCACGTGCTGACCTGAAAAGCGCCCGCGCTGACCTGGAAGGTGCTCTTGCTGATGCTCTTGCATGCCAGCACTTCGCCCGTCTTCAGCTTGACGCAGCTGCGGATGATACCAAACTGCCCGGTGCCCAGCGGCGCCCTCTCCTGAAGCATGTACTCGCGCTCGATGCTGCGGTACGGCCGCCGCAGGATGAACCGCGGGCACTGCAGCCCGGGCAGCATCTCGGGCGGCATCATGCCGGGGAGCATGCCGCCCGGAAACCCGCCCGGGAAGCCTGGAATCTGAGGTGGCTGCCCGGGAAACTGCCCGGGAGCAAGCTGCCCCTGCATGTCTTCAGGCATGGGCTGCCCGGGGAGTGGGAACGGATATCCAGGCAGAGGAAACGGCTGCCCGGGAAAGGGAAATTGCTGGTCTGCCTGGGGGAAGGGCTGAGAGGGATCTGGAAACATCTGCCCTGGAATGTGCTGCCCGTTCAAGTCCGGGAGCATTCCGGGGAAAATCTGCCCGGGAAATTGTGGAGCACCAGGAGGTGGTGGCATGGGGAGGCCGTTCATGAGTGGAGGAGAGCCCTCCATGAGCATGGCAGCATGCATGGGACCATCCATCCCCATGCTGCTGCCCCCCATGCCCCCATCCATCACTCGTGCTTCAACCATGCCCGGCAACGCCCCATTGGCCAAGGGCCTGCCGTCCCGTGCCACGTCAGCACCAGCTGGGCCATCCCGAGCCGCTGCCACATCAGCATCCTCCATGTCAAACGCAAAGGCATCCGCTTCCAAGCTGCTCTGCCCATGAAGCCCCTCGCTCTCCTTCCCCCCCTCCCTCCCCCTCTCTGCTACTTTCACCCTCTTCCCATCCGCACCCACCTCCTGCCCCTCCAGAATCGCCCCCACCACCCGCGCACCCCTCTTTCCCCCCTTCCCCTCGGGCGAGCTGATGGACGCTCTGCTGGAATGCCGCGACAGCCGCCGCCCCCCCGGCCTCTCCACCGCCCCACTGCCGTCCAGCACGACGCTGCCCTCGTCGGCGCTGTACACGGGCGAGCACACGTCCACCAGCGAGCACACCCCCACCGACCCCTCGGGACTCGCACACGCATCGGACCCTCCCCCTGCCACCTCGCCCCCTGCCTCTACTCTCCACTGGCCCTTGCCCTGCCCCGATCTGCTCTCCTGCTGCTGCTGCTGCTGCTGCTGCTGCTGCTGCTGCTGCTGCTGCTGCTGCTGCTGAGTCTGATCTTGTTGTTGCCATTGTTGTTGTTGCTGCTGGTGGTGCTGCTGCTGCTGATACTGGTTGTGGTACCCACTGTTATGCTCGTTCTCCTGACCCCAGAACGACACCCCCTGTCCCCCGCCCTCCACGCCACTCCCACTGGACGCCACCCTCTCCACGCACGCACCCCCCACGGCGCCCCCTTGGCGCGGCCCCCACACGGCGACCTCAGCCAGGGGCGGGCTGGAGAGGGCGGACTCAGGGGAGCTGAGCCCGCCAGGGGAGAGACCGGTGGATAGAGGAGGACTGGCGGAGTCAGAGGAAGGGTGCAGGGGATGTGCGCTCGCAGCACTTGCAGCACCCATGCTGCCCCCACCACCAGCTCCACCACTTAAACTACCTCTGTTTCCCTCCCCTCCAGAGCCCCCCCCTTGTTCTCCTCCTGCTACTGCTGCTCCGCTGGCCAATGGTGACCCCGGCCGGCCGGCAGGGAGATCGAGGGCTGCTGGCCGCATTCCCATTGGTCGGGAGGACGGCCGGGCGGCAGGGGCCACTGTAGCTGGAGCTACAGTGACTGGCCTGTTGCCTCCACTGGATCCTGGCCTTGCCATTGGTCGGCTGGCAGTGATCTGGGCGGCGAGGTGCTGTAGCGAGTTGGCAGCTTCCTCAGAGAGCCCTCCACCTGTCCAGCTGCCGTACACAACAGCCTCCCCCTCCCCCTCTCGTCCTATCTCCCCATCCCTCCCTGCATGCCCACCTGCTGCTGCTCCCGCCCCCCCCTTTGGTGACAAAACGGCACCTGGAAAAACACCTGGCGGGGCACCTGAGGGGGCAGCGTGCGAGTGGTGCTGCAGGCGGGCGAGGGCGGCTCTCATGAGGTCCTCCGCGCCCTCCACGCCCATGAGGCGCCGCGACAGCCGCATGCCCCCGCGGGGCGTCATGACAAACGCGGGGGACGAGGGTGTGGCGGGGCGCGACGAGGGTGTGGCGGGCCGCGAGGCGGGCGTGTCGGGGCGGGAGCTGCCTCGCGAGCTCGGTTGGCCGTCCTTGTCTGTCCCCCCAGCCGCTGCCATGTGGTTCTGCAACATGTGATGGTGGTGGGGATGCGGATGGTGTGGGTGGGAGGGCACTTCAACAGAGAACCCTGGCCGAGTAGAGGAGGTTTCACGCACGGACGTGGAGCGCAGCACGGCCGCACTGCTGCCTGCCTTGTTCCCCCCGTGGCCCTTGCCCCGGCCTGCACTGCTGCCAGCACCACTTGCTGTAGCAGCAGCAGAGGCAGAAGAGGCGGAGGGTCGGGCAGGGGAGAGGTCGCGTGAGGGCATGAGGATGTCCTCCATCTCGCGCGTCTGCTGCCACGGGTTCACGTGCTGCGCCCGCCGCATCGCCCCTACTGCAAGCCCTGCTGCCCCAAACCCTGCTGACTCTGCTGCTGGTAGCTTGGGCGACTGTGCCTGCTCTTCTCCCACCTGCTGCTGCTGCTGCTGCTGCTGCTGACCTCGCTGCTGCTTCTCCTCTTGCTCCTCCCCCGCGCTAACCTCCCCTCGCCCTGCACTCCCACCCGGGCTGCCTCTCTCACTCTCCGACTCACCCCCCTCCTCCTCCTCCTCCTCCTCGTCCACCACGGCCGTGGCGCGCCCCAGAGGCGCCAGCGGAATGGCATGCACGACATCATCGTCCAGGTCCGCTGACTCGCCCCTCCCATGCCCCCCCGCCCGCCCACCCTGCTGCAACCCCTGCTGCTGCCACCCCGCCTGCCTCTGCTCCCACCCCAGCTCGCTCTGCTGCTGCTGCTGGCTCCCTTGGCTGTGCTGGCTGCTCTGACTGCCTTGACTTGGCAGGGCTGGCCGGGGGGAGGGCGGCAGCAGCGGGGCGGGCACGTGCACGAGGGGTCGGGCGTCCACCACGTCGTCCCCCAGGTCCTCTGAGGGCTCCCTCGCGTGGTGCCTGGGAGCTGGGTCGCTCAGCACACGCCCTGCTCCCTCCTGCCTGCCTTCACCCGCTTGACTCCGTTGACCTGTTTGACCCTGTTGACCTTGCTGACCAGGTTGACCCGATTGACCTGTTTGACCTGGTTCGCGATAGTCGTGGGTTGGATCCGTCACATGCCTCCTCACCCTCTCACCAGCCTGGTCCTTCCAGGAACCTTCCACCTCGTCGGCAAACATTACACCCCTGGACCCCCCTTCCTTCTGCGATCGCGACCGCGTCAGCTGCCCCCTCTCCCTCCTGCCGTCCGCCACTGCTGCTGCTGCCCCGCCTGACCTCTCCTCCCCACCCCCATCCAGCTCGCTCAGCAGCAGCCCCCGCCCGCCCCCTTCCCTCTGCGACTTGGCTCGAGCCAGGCCCCCCCTCTCCCCTCGCCCCACTGCCGCCACCTCCCCCGCACTGCCCTGCCAGTCCCCGTGCCTCTCCTCGTCCTTCGCCCTCCACCCCTCCCCCCCTCCGCCCTCCCCTGGATCCCCAATCTCTCGCACCGACCTGGATCTGCCCATGCGCGCGCCCACCAGCAGCCCCCCTTCCCCCGCGCCTCTCTCCCCCATGTCTCTCCCCTCCCCCCTCCCCCTCCCCCTCCCCCTCCCCTGTGCACCTCCCTGTCTAGGTCCGCCCACCCCACCTCTCTCCGCCGCCCCACAGACACACTCCTGTCCTCCTCCCCACCCCTCCCACGCCTCTCATTATCCCCCTCTCCCCCCTCTCCCCCCTCTCCCCCCTCTCCCCCCTCTCACTCCTTCCCCCCCGCTCACTCATTTCCTCATCCCCACTCCCCTCCAGCAGCCCTGCTGTGCCCGATCTGCTCCTCAGCAACCGCCCATTCCTCTCCTCGCCTCCACCCTTACCCTTTCCGCCTGCCCCAGATCCACCCTTCCCCGGAACCCCCCTGCCGGCTCCTGCTTGCTCTCTTGCTGCGCCTTGGTCCCTGAGTGAGCCTCTGACCAGCATGGGGCCATCCAAGCTAGCGTGTCCCGTAGTGCCCACAGCCGCGCTCAAGCCCAACCCCCCATCCTTGGTGATATCCACGCCCATGCCCATTACAAAATCTGACCGAGTGCGCTGGTGCCGCCCCCTCCCTGCCCTTCCCTCCCCTCCCGCCCCTGCTCTTCCTCCCGCCCTCACTGCTCCTCCTCTTCCCCCTGCTGCTCCTCGCCCCCCTCCCCCTCGCCCCCCTGCTGCTGCTCCTCCAACTGCTCCCTCTGCGCCCCCCACCTGTGCTCCCTTCGCCTGGCCTGCTCCCCCCCGCACCACCCCCCCATCCCAATCATCCAGTGACCCTCGCCCCCCCATCCCCCCTCTCCCTCCTCTCCCTGCCGCTCCCGCCCCCCTTCCTCCGCCGCCCTCCCTCACATCCATCCCCCCGTCTTCCCCACCAAAAGCCCCCAGCACCAGCCCCCCCTCTGTACGTTGCCGCCTGTGCCCCCTTCCCCCTGCCCTTCCCCCTGCGCCCCCTCCCCTTCCCCCTCCCGCCTGCCCCACCCTCTGCTGCAGCAGCTGCTGCTTCACCTGCTGCAGCCGCATCTGCTGCTGCTGCTGCTCCTGCTGCGCACTCAGCTGCCTGTGAACCCCCTCCCCCCCCTCCCCTGCAAGCAGCAACCCTGCTCCAGTGCCCCCTGCGCCCCCTGCGCCCCCTGTGCCACCTGCCCCTCCCCCTGCTCCTCCCCCCCCTGCTGTTGCACCACTATCTAGAAGGTTCCAGGACTGTTTCAGCTTCTGCTGCTCCTCGGGACTTAGCAAAGAGAGCAGGTTCTTTAGCGCGTTAGATATGTCCACTGGCTTGCGCCCCGGACCTGCCGACGTGGCATGGGCCGAGCCAAGGCCTCCCGGGCCTGACCCCGGAGCACCTGATGCGGTTACGGACCGGATAAGAGGCGGTGACGTGGAGGGGGAGCCTGCCGAACCTGCGGACGTGGCTGGTTCGGGATGAGGTCTGAAGGATCTATTGCGGTTGGCTGGTGCTAATGTAGGGTCGGAATAAACGGGGCCTGCAGAGGCAGCAGGGGCAGCAGTGGAAGCGCTTCGAGGGAATTTGGATAGCAGGGGAGGGGCAGCGGAGGAGGCAAGAGAGGAGGAGGCAAAGCTTGAGGCGGATGTGATTGAAGAGGGGGAGGACATGGGGGGGGAAGAGGGGCGCATGGAGGGAGACAGGGGGCGGATGGAGGGGGAGGGGGGGCGAGGAGAGGGGGATGGAGGGCGGGGGGAGGGGGAGGAGCAACGGAGGGATGGGGAGGAGGATCGTAGAGAGGGGGAGGCAGGGCGGAGCGAGGGGGAGGAGGGGCGGAGAGAGGAGTGGTGGGGGACGGATGGCACAAGAGGGGTGACACGGGGAGGCGTGGCAGCTCGCATGGCGTGGGGAGGGAGGGGCGCGCGGGACTTGTCGGAGAACCTGCGCTGGAGCCTCGTCTCGGCGGCACTCAGCTGCACGCACAGGCCATGAGCACCGGGGGTGAGCAGCCAAGGGGGAGCAGCGGGCGAGGGGAGTGCAGGGGCAGGGAGTTGGGCAACAGAGAGGGGAACAGTGGTGAGGGAGAGTGCTGGTGAGGGAGAGTGCGGGTGGGGAAAGTATGTGTGGGGGACAGGAGGAAATGAATACATGACTCAGTATCCAAGCAGGCCAGGGCAAGCACGACGGCGGCTGAGAAGGCAGAGGGGAAGATGTTGCTGAAAGGCGGTTCAAAGGCTGCCCATGCGGAACAAACGGCAGGAAAAGGGGAAGGTATTGCTGAGGGATGGAATTGAAGTACCTCCCCACTGCTGGAGCCATTGAAGTCCAGCTGCTGCACCACATCCCTACTCCTCTCCCCCTCTCTCCCCCTCTCCCTCTCATCTTCTCTCCCCCTCTCCTCCCTCTCCCGCTCCCGCTCCCTCCTCTGCAACCCATCCCCTCCCTCTCCCCCACCTCCTCCTCCTCCTCCCACTCCTCCCTTGTCCGGCGTCCTCGATTTAACAAACTTCCTCCATTTCGATACAATCTTCTTCGTTGCAGTCTCTCCCCCAGACTCCTCTCCTCCCCCCCCCCTTTGCCCCCCGTACTTCTCCCTAACAAACCGATCCTCCCCATAGCCCTCTTCCCCAACGCCTGCAGCCCCCCCCACCTCGCCTCCCAAAACTCCCCTCCCCCCTCCCCCCATCACCTCCCCACCCGCCCCTCCAACTCCCCTCCCTCTTCCGCCCAACCCCCTTCCCCCTGGCCCCACCCGTCCCCCCATGCTCCCCTCCCCTCTCCCACCCCCCTGCACCCTCTGCAGCCCGGGCCGGTGCTGCCCCGCATCCCCCTCCAGCTCGTGCTGCCACACCTGCTGCTGCTCCTGCTGCACGGGCTGCTGCCACGAGGGGCGCCGCTGGTGCCCCCGTCCAGCCCCTGTGGCGGACCCGTGGCTCACACCTCCCCCAGGAGCCCCTGCTCCTCCCTCCTCGTGCCCATGCCTCTCCTGCTGCCTCTCCTGCTGCCTCTCCTGCAGCCTTCCCTGAGCCGCCTGCCGGCTTGAGCTGGATCCCGGCCTTTCCTCGCCCTCACTCTCCTCCTCCCCCCACACGCGCATCACATCCGCCCCCCCTCGCTCCTCCTTCCCATACATCCGCACGTTCTGCACTCTCCTCCCCACCCCCCCATCCCCACCACCCAACATGCCCTCTACATTGGACGACGTGCGAGAAACAGCCGACATCGGCCGCCCACTACCGGCCCACTGCTCCCCCTCAGCACCCGCCCCTCCACTGCCCTCTCCCGCCCCACCCCCTGCCATCATCCTGCTGCTGCCATGCTGCTGCGAGTGGTGGTGGTGCTGCTGCTGCTGCTGGTGCTCGCCGGGGGGATGGGGCCGAGGCGGGAAGTCTTTCTTGGGCACGGTGGGGGGGGTGCCGGGGCGTCTGGAGTCTATCTTGTGCCGCCACTTGCTCAGCACCTGCCGGGCCAGCGATGACTCCCCTCCCCCCTTCCCCCCTCCCCCCCCTCCTGCCCCCCCTCCACCGCCACCGCCAGCACCGCCTAGAGCCCCGCTGCTGGTGCTGGGCCGGACGTCTCCCGGAGCTCTAGGCTCGGGATCGCTGTTGGCTCGGTTGAAGAAGCGCTGGCGCGGGGTGCCAGCAGCATCCACGCCCACGCCCCCACCCGCATCACCATCAGCATCAGCATCACCAGCACGCTCGGAGGCGTAAGCAGAGGCAGACGGAGCAGGGGCGGCAGTGGCGGGGCGGTCTGCTGCCCCTCTGCCTGCCCCCACTCCTGCCCCCAAGCTGTTCCTCTGTGCGCCTTCAGACACCTCCTCACTCCTGCTGCTCGGCACCCCTATCGTCCTCCACCTCCCCGACCCCCGTCCCAGTTCCCCTCTCCCTTGCACTCCCCCCACCCCACCCCCTACCCCTTCCCCCGCTGCTCCCCCTATCCCCCCCTTCCCCCACTTCTCAGGGGAAACGCGGCTGCTAGTGCGCGGATCAACCCCAGATATGGTGCGCCTGGGGGGGGCAGGCGGAGCAAACCCCCCCAATCCCGCGGAAAACCCCACCTCCCCTTCCCCAACCCCCCCTGCTCCCTCACTCGAGTGCTCAGAAGCTTCCCGGAAAGAGGAGGGGGAGGGGAACCACCCGGCCAGGCTCATGGGCGAGGCGTCAGGCGGCTGGTTCCAGGGGAGGTGGGATCTGGGGTCGAGGTCCACTGACGCGGAGGGAAGGTGGGACCTGGGATGGTGCGGAGGGTGGTGGGAGGAGAAAGTAGGGGTTTGGTCGGGAGCGTGGTGGTCGTGGGAGGCGGAGAAGGAGGGGAAGTGCAACTCTCCCGTGCTGCTGCAGTCGCTGTGACTGGTGGGCACGGCGAAGGCAATCGCCATGTCGTCAACGGGATGCGCGTCAGCAGCCTCTGGTGCTGACGATGCCCCTCTAGGAGCGTCTTTAATCGCCTTGTTAGACCCACTGCCTGCCTGGTTGCCGAATGGGAGCGGGCTGGGCGGCTCAGACTTTATACTCGTGTAGAACAGATTCGTTATGCTGTCCGGCAGCATGCTCAGCACATCCCCTACCACTATCTCCGGCCCCTCCGCCCCACCTTCCCCCCCCTGCGCCGCCCCCTCAGCACCCGCGCCCTTGCCTTTCCCCGCTTCCCCTTTCACTCCCCCCTTCCCCGCGCCCTCCGCCTTCCCCGTTCCGCTTCCCTCCTCCCCTTCCGCGTCTGAAGCGTCGGAGCTGGAGCGAGATGGAGCCTGTTTAACTGGGAACGGTCGGCCCAACATGTCTGTGGCACCAGGAGATCGGTTCTCAGGGTTAACCGCCAAAAAGCCCGTACTCGCCATGCGATTTAGCCTCAATCGCGGAGGGGTTTTTCCAACTCCAGCCCGCGGGCCCGCGCTTGCTGCCTGCTGCTGCTGGGGGGCGTGCATGGGGGAAAGGTGGCTCCGCTTAGGCTCGAGATCCGTCTGCGCGGAGACCCCATCCCTTCCCCCGCGTCCGCTGATGGGTTTCGCGGGGCTGGCATCCCGCAAGGCCCCCATTCTCCCGTCCGCGTTCTGCGCCGATGGCAGCGCAAGAGCTGCGCCGCTGCTGGCCCTCCGCGCATGATGCACCCTCGGCGCGCTGCTCGAGCGCTCCGCCCCCTCCGCTAGGCCCTCCGCCAAGCCTTGCGCGTTCCGCGCGCGCGGAGCGACCTGAGGGGAGGCGTGAAGGGTTTGCCCGTGCGCCTGGCGCTTCAGCACCTGCTGCTGCAGCGGCGGATGCAGCGGCGGGTGCTGCGGTGGGTGCTGCTGCTGGTCGTTCGACCCCTGTTTCCGCGGCAGCCCTAACGGCTGCTGCCCTTGCCGCGATCTCGACCGTTCCTGCTGCTGCGACTGCGCGCTGGCACGACTTCCAGCCGTCGATTGCTGCCCTTGCGGCCTCTCCTCCCCATCCGTCCTCTCGCTTCGCCATTCTTCACGAAAGCGAGAGGTAACCTCCTCGCCCCCGCTACTGCACTCCTCCTCCCTCGCCTCTCCTCGCGTTTCCTGGCTTGGCGACCTAACCTCCTCCCGGATTTCCCGGTCTGACGACCGATTATCACATTCTGACGTGGAGCCAGCGGCTGCTGCGGGGCCTGCGGCGGCTGCGGCACGTTGCGCTCTCTGCAGGGCGTCCCATACCGTGCTGCGCTCCGGCGCAGAAATATTCGACTTTAACGAGCGGCCCCCGCTACTAGAACTCCGGCTGCTGGGCCGCTCGGTGCTGTCAGAGGCTGTAACCGTAGCGCCAGAGGGGGTATGCGATGCTCGGGTGGACCGAAGAGCGCTAGAGATGCCGCGAAACACGGAGCGATGCTTGGTAGCGACGGGTGGGGTTTCCCGCGTGACTGACTGCACCTGCTCGAGGCCTCGTTCCCCTCCCATCTCATCCCCTCTGACCCCGTCGCTCGTCCCTGTAACGGGAACCTCTTATCGGGGACGCTCATGTACCAATGCCTGAAACTGAAGGCATCCTCCCGTAGCCGCCAATTAACAAATTTAAGTTAGGGTTCGACTTACTGAAAAAATAACTTCTGCAGGTGCGCATGGTCAGAGCGTCGGTTTGTACTAAAAACCTGCAGCGGTTTCACCTGCCTCGGTAATTGCGAGCACTGCTGGTGGTGCTGCCTCTCTCTGCCTAGTTACTACCAGCCAGTCGCTCTCCCCGTGCTTCCGTACTTCACTCCTCAACTGAAATTGGTTGCCTCGAGGCTGGGCGGGGGCGGTGTGGGGCATTTGTGGGTTGGCGGCATTCCCAAGATGGCAAGGTCCTGCTGCGGTGAGCTGCTGAGCGTGACCTTTTCGCCTGGCTCGTTTCGGTTGGGCTTGGTTTGGTTGGTCCCTTTTGCTGCTACGCTGATGATCGTTTCGTGGCCCTCGAGCCTGTCGCACCCGCATCAAGTTGGAAGTCATCCTCTGTATAGCTTGCTCGTTTGCAGCTATCGAACGTAACGGCGGGCTGACAGATGCAAACGAAGAAGTAATTCATGTGTTGCTAACCAATGCGTACTTGAGATCTAACACCCTAAACATTCCTATGGGTGGGAAGCCTATTCTATAGCTGGAAACTGTCTACGCACAAGAAAAAACTACAGAGTACAACAAAATGTAATCACCCCACGTATGTAGCACAAGCGTCCATGTAACTCAGGATGGGGGCACTAGCGCATATGCTGGGCACCCCTGTTGATGATAAATGCGGTGTTGAGCAGTCTCGTATTCATAAATATATTAACAGGTGGTAATTGGAGTTTGCTGTCTGTAAGCACTAGATATCGGGACAACCCACCATCCTGTGGTTGTGCCTGCAGCATGCTCTTTTCTTATTGGTGCATACGGATCCATGGATGATCTGTTGGGTGAGGTGAAATGGGTGAGAGGTGGATGGTGGGAGGTGAGCAATGCAATGCAAGAGGAACAAGGCTGGGGTGATGAGATGGAGTACTGCAACCCGAGAAATGCGATAAGCTCGTGCCATCCTTCATCGCCGTCATTCATCAAACGTTACTCTTCAAAACCTCTTCCCCGCATGTGGTACCCCCCTCCCGTTCCTTCCTCTTGACAGACACCTCCTCTGCCCCCCACAGGTGGAGTGTGAGAGGACAGAAAGAGAAGCGGGTGAATTCTTTCCCCCGTCCCTCCCTTCTCCATCCCTCCGTCCTTCTCCCCCACTCACCTAGAATCTCCAGCGCCGTGATTCGCTCCCGTGGGTCCTTGGTGAGCATCCTCCTTACAAGCTCCTTGCACTCCTCGCTGGTGTTGGCCCACTTAGCGGATTTGAAGCTCACAGCGCCCTTGAGGATCGCCTCCGCCACACACTTGCGCGACGACGCCCAGAAGGGCGGCACGCCGCACAGAACGATGTATAGGACGACGCCCGCCGACCAGATGTCGGCCTCGGGGCCGTATGACTGCAGCAGCACCTCTGGCGCCATGTACTCGGGCGTCCCCAGGACCTCTGTCAGGCGCTTGCCTGGGGGGTTGTGGGAAATTGTGAGTATGGAGAGAAAAAACTTTGAGAAAAGTACCTCTGGCGCCATGTACTTGGGGGCTCCAAGGAAGTCCGTTAGGTGCTTACCTGGAGGGGGGGGAGGGGGGGTTTGCATGAGATTATATTAATATGGGCCAGAGTATTTTTAAGAAATGCATTACTTAAATCAATAAATTAATGATGATTTGTCAGCAGGCACCGATCGTAGCAAGGAGCACTTACCAGGTGCAAAGAAGATGGCAACAGCGCAATGAGCCGGTTTAATCCATGAAATCTCTTGAAGGTCACAAAACAGCTACTCCAGCTTCATGCAGTGGCAGGGGAAGGGGCAGGAGCAGGGGCAGGGGCAGGGACAGGAGCAGGGGCAGGAGCAGGGGTAGGAGCAGGGGCAGGGGCAGGGGCAGGGGCAGGGGCAGGGGCAGTGCAGCAGCGCACCTGATTGAGACTCACCAGGATCAAAGAAGGTGGCGACTCCGAAATCAACCAATTTAATTCGTGAATTCTCAGAATGATCGCAAAGGAGAATGTTTTCGGGCTTGATGTCGCGGTGCAGGATGCCGTGGCAGTGGCAGTGCAGCAGCGCCTCCACTAGCGCACGGCACAGCCGCGCGGCCGACTGCTCCGACATGCGCCCCTTGCTGCTCACACGGTCGAAGAGATCTCCGCCCTGGCACAGCTGCATCACTATGTGGATGTTCTGAAAACGGGGGGAGGGGTGGGGGGAGGGGTGGGGGGAGGGGTTGGAGAGGAGGAGGGGATATGAGAGAGGTGTGCTGCGTGAGCTGAGAGGATGCCGCCCTGCCACAGCTGCGTCACTATGTGGATGTTCTGCGGTGCAGTGAGGGTGGGGTGAAGGATGGGGGCGTATGAGCGGGGTGTGTATGCTGTGACTGGGAGACCCGACGGATCGCTGCCCTGACATGGCCCCATCACTATGTGGATGTTCTGAGAGGGAGAGGAGGGGTTTAGGATACGGAGGGGGGGATATGGAGGGGGGGGATATGGGGGAGTGGGGGACATGAGGGGGGAGGGGAGATATGTGGGGGGGGGGATATGAGGGGGGGGAGAAATATGAGGGGGGGGGATATGAGTGGGGGAGATATGAAGGTGGGGGGGATATGAGGAGGGTGTGCGTGCGGTGAGGGGGAGGATGCAGGCAAGTGGACGAGGTGGGCGCCATGGCGCTTCTCCACGACCATGTGGATGTTCTGCGCGAGGGGTGCGGGTGGGAAGAGTGGGGGAGAGAAACCAGGGGGGGAGGGAGCTGTGGTGCACACAGCACGGTGTCCTGGCACGGCTCCATGGCCGTGTGGGTGTTCTGAGAGGGAGGGAGGAGGGCGTGTGAGGTTGGGGGGTTGGGGAAAGAGCAGAGGGGAATAGTGAAGGTGAGAGAGGAGGGGCAAGAAGATGCATCGTCTACTTGGCAAAGCTTCATCAATATGGGTGTTATTATGGGTGTAATGATGGGTGCTATTATGGGTGTGAGGTGAGAGAATTGGGGTGAGAGGCTGAGAGAGATAAGGGTGGGAAGTGCAGTGCGGTGGAGAGCCACACTACAGTGGGGTGATTGCCGCCCTTACTGCTGCGCCCACAGCCACAACCATGCATGAATGCAACCATGCATGAATGCAACCATGCATGAATGCAACCACGCATGAATGCAACCATGCATGAATGCAACACCGTACCGCCATCATGTCTTTAAGAGTCAGTACGGTGGGCGCTTGCGCTATAGATTTTCTGAAAGCTGCAAACGCTTATAATGCCCAAGGAACTCTCGTATCCCTCCATCCTCCTCCACCCCACCGTCCTTGCACTTTATCTTCCACCACGTCTTAAAGCGTCACTATCTACGGTGCGGTGGTTGTCAGAGCTAATGCTGTAGTGACCGCTGCAGGCACTCAATGTAAGAACATCTCACCTCCCCGTCACCCACAGTGACTTCAAGACTCACCATGGTGGGTTGACCGCACCGCAATTCACCTGTTCCTTAATGCTTCACCGTAGCGCCTCACCTCCCCATCTTCCACAGTGCCCTTTAGAGTCGCGACAGTGGGTTTCGCAACGATTCACTTAAAAGCCACATTTGCACTTGATGTTTCAATGGAGAATCTCACCTCTTCATCTTCCACGGTGTCTTTAAGAGTGACGATGGTGGGATGGTTGCGCAGCAGCGTGAGGCAGGCCACCTCCTTGCGAATGTCCTCCGCGTCCTCCTTCGTCTGCGGGATGAGCCAGGGAGAGATAAGAGGAACGGGAGGGAGGAGGGCGGTGGAATATGAGTAGGCATGCATGGGTTGGTGACAGGGCATGCATGGGTTGGTGACAGGGCATGCATGGGCCGGTGACAGGGCATGCATGGGTCGGTGACCTGTGCGGTGGCTTCTGAGTCGACTCAAGGGCAACATTGCAAATGCTTCCTTCTCTCTTTGCCCTTGCCTGTGGAGACCCATCTCCTCTGTTGCTCTCACCTGCACGCATTTCTTGTTGATTGTCTTGCAAGCAAACACCTGCCCAGTTGCCACCTCCATGCACGGACGGATGATCCCAAACTGCCCACTTCCCAGCTCCCTACTATGTAGCACGAACTGGGCTTTAATCTCTCCATACTCCTTCCTAAGAACGTGGTCCCGTGGGGGCAGCCCCTCATACTGCCCGAAAACATCTTCCACGCGGCCCGAAAAGCTTGCCGGCTTGCGCATGCTCCCGCCCAGTCCAGAGTTCAACTGCCGCCCTTGCTGCTGGCGGTGCGGTGCCACCACCTGAGAAAACACCTGAGGAACCACCTGGTGCTGCTGCTGATTCTGCTGCTGCTGCTTCTGGCCGGATTGCCCTGGATGAATCTGTCCTCTTGGCGCGTCTAGATCCATTCTCTCTGCAATCCCTTGTTGCTGCCAAGCCTGCTGCTGCCACTGCTGGTTCTGCTGCTGTTGCTGCTGTTGCTGTTGCTGCAGCAGCTGCATCAGCTGCTGCTGCTGGGGAAGCGCCGTCCTGGTAGCAGCAGCAGCCTTGGAGGCAGCGGCGGCCAGGGCGAGGTGTTTCGACGCCTCTGCCAGAGCTGCTGCCGCCACGAGCCGGTCACCCGCGAACCCTGAGATGGACGACGACGGCCGGTGCATCCCCACCACCACTCCCATGCCGCCCCCACCGCCCCCACCCCCTCCCCCTCCTCCCCCTCCTCCGCCCCCCCCTGCTACCCCTCTCCTCCTCCCCCCGGCCCCCGCCCCCCACCCTACGGCCCCCACCCCCCCTCCTAGGGGGCCAGTTGCAGGGTGGTTTAGAAGTTTAGCCAGGCACGGCGCAGAGACATTATCGAGATTATACCCCGAAACGGGCAGCTGCGGCTGCTGCAGCAGCTGCTCCTCCTGCCTCAAGCTCGGCCCCCCGCCGCTCCCCAGCTTGATCGTCTGCCGCATGGCGGAAACCGGCTTTAATAACTCTCCTGGGTTGTTCAGGGCGAAATCGGCGCTGCCAGTTCGCCGGTGACGTGCCGCTCTCCTATTGGCTGCTGCTCTAGCTGCTGTAGCGGAAACGGAGGGAGAGCTCCCTACCCCACTGCCGCCCACCCCTCCCCCCCTTCCTGCTGCTGCCGCTTCTGCTGCTGCTTTCTGCGCACGCGCCGCCGCAGCAGCAGCAGCAGCCGCAGCAGCAGCAGCGGAAGGTGAGGGTCTACTCTGATTATAAGCACCGAAGCTTCCTGCCGCCTGCATCTCCATCCACTTCTGGGTAATCTGGGTAATTTCCCCTGGAGAAATCCCGGCAGGCGCCCCTGCTGCTGCCAGTGCAGCAGCTGCGGCAGCAGAAAGCGCGGAGGCGTAATCACCACTGGCCCCACCGCTGCCAGCAGCATTAGAAGCGGATCGATGACCCGTCGACACCCGCTGCTTCACAGGACGGTTAATCACCCCCCCAGCCCCGATATTAGCCCCACCGTTACTAGCACCCATGTAACCTGAACAATCACCTGAGCCTGGGCGGCTACCTGAACCCCCACCTGAATTCCCACCTGAACCCACGGCGCTACCTGACGGCCCCCCTAGGGACATGTGCGAGAGGGCGTACATCTCCTCTTCCCCCAACATCGCGCTCCCCCGCCGCTTCAGCTGCTCCCCGCGCTCAGAGCTGGGGGACGGCAAGGGGGAGGTTCCCCCCCTGCCTGCTCCGCGTGCTCCCCCCACTGCGCCAGCCGCTCCTCCCCCTAACCCGTCCGCATGGCCCGCTGCGGTTGGCCCGCCAGCTTGCCTGAGCGGAGATCCCTCCCCTCCCGCGGAGCGTCCTTGCGCGGCCCCCCACTCCATCTGCAGTTCCGATAGGCCTATTGCGCGCCCCTGCCGCTTCCCCCCACCCTGTTGCTGCTGCTGCTGCTGCTGCTGCTGCGCCTGCTGGTGTTGTTGCGCCTGCTTCTGCTGCTGCTGCAGTGCAGCCGCTACAGCCGCCGCGTCCCTATCCGCGACCAACTGGGCGGCAGCCAGCAGCCGCGCGTGCAAGTCCTGCACGGCGCGGTTCGCACTGTTCAACCCCCGCGCCCCCGTCGGCGGAGAGCCCTCCCGCGGGGAGCTTCCCCGCGGGGTCCCCGCTCCGCTTCCTCCCCCCCCACACGCAGCAGCCGCGAGCGCCGCCACCGCGGAAGGTGCAATGGGCGGCGCGGGAGAGAGGCGCGGGGAAGGGGGCGGGCGGGAGAAGAACGAGGGGCGCGGGGAGGAGGTGCCCTCGAGCATGTCGGCGGAAAAGTTATGCTGGAGGAGCGCGGAGGCGGCGGAAGCGGAGGCCGTGCGCCGATGTGACGGCCGCACGGGGCGGGGAGTGGCGACGGGCGCGCCGGCTTTCGGCGGAGCCGCGCTGCCGAGCTCCGCGGAACTGTATGCTGGTGGGGCGTTTTGCGGCACGTGGGGCGGATTCGGCGGAGGATGGAGTTCGGCAGGAGGGCGGGAGAAGTGCGACGCGACGACGTGGTCAAAACTGTCGAGGGATGTGGATCGTGGGGATCGATCCGCCCTGGGCTCGGCGGAAAACATCCCGCCCTCAAGTGACCCATGCCGCGGCTGCTGCGCCTGCTGCGGCTGGTGTTGCTGCAAATGCTGCTGCTGCTGCGAATGTTCCTCATGCTGCTGGAATTGCTGCAGTTGACCGTTGCTGCTGAAATGCTCCTGCTGCTGCTGCTGTTGCTGCTGCGGCGACGGATTTCTGTCATTGTTTGTCATTTGCTGATGCTGCATTTGCTGATGCTGCATTTGTAGCGAGTCTGCGACTAGCGAGCCTGGCTGGAAATCCCGACCCGAGAACCCCCCGCTAAATAGCTCCGAGAGCGGGGATGGCGCAATTGCGCGTTGCGCTCCGCCATGCGCGGAAAGCTGCTGGCGGGAGCGCATGGGGGACCGCGGACAGCCTCCGTGCGCCAGGTTGAACGGGCTCGCGGAAAGCCCTCCGCCAGCCCCTGCGCCACCAACCGCGCCAGCTGGTGACCCCGCGCGCTGAGCGGAAGGCCCTCCGCCGCCCGCCAGTGCGCGCGGGGAAGTCCGCGCAACAGGCCCCAGGTACAGACCCGTGGCGGGATGGTCGGCGGGGAATGGCGGGGACGCGGCACCTATGGGGAAGGAAAACTGGCCGCGGGAAGAAGAGGCCTGTTCTGCGCCGACAGGGGGGAAATCGCCCTTCGCGGACGCGAGCTCCGCCGGAGTGGCGGAAGCGGAAGCCGCTTGTGCGGCGGCGGAAGGGGACTGAAGCGTGGTGAGCGGACTGAGCGCCCCGCGGTTGCGGCGGGAAAGGAGGGAATGCGAGCGCGGCTTGGGAGGCGACGCGATCCTCGCGTGATAGTCCGCCTCGGCGAACGGGCTCGGGGAGTGCGGTCCGCATGACGCGGGGGAGGCGCCAGCGCTGTGGGATGGCGACGATGTGCCTAAAGCCGCCTCCGCGAACGACGGGCCGGCGCGGTGGCGCGGAGAGGCTGGCGGCGGGGAACGCCGGGGCATGCGGTCAGGGCTGCTGCGGAGTCCGTCCATGCTGACGTCAGCACGGGTAAGGGGATTGGTCGGGTCTTGGCGCGGCGTGTGGTACTGTGCGCGATATTGGGGCTCGATGTCCATGGCTTGCGCTGTGCCGACGGCCGCCATACGCATTACTGGCGCACGGAAGAATCTAGACGAGATACGGAATGGACGGGGAGAACGAGTCCAAGAATTCTAGAAGGGCATGTGAGAAGTATGGAGCAGCGGGTCATAAGTTACCTAACCGTGGAAACTGCGACCAGTGCTGTGCTCGTAGACGGAAAAACTAACGAAGTCGTAGACCGATACCCGTGGGATGGGCAGTACTAGTTTCGTGAAGCCTTGGCGAAAGAAGCAGGTGCGTGGGAAAACAGTAGGTACAGTAGGGTAGTTCACCCCATACTCGTTTAAATCGGCTGTTTCGTTTGGGGCGGCAGCGATTGTTTGATCTGCGTGGTGACTATAACGCTTACCGTCGCTTGCCTAAGAAACCCACGTTCGACAGGAATCTCTCTGTGCGACATTACAGACCTGGCCCAAACTTGGGGTACAGGTCATATGCCTTGTAGACGACCCCCTTTTATGCCCAGGAGTATTCCATAGGCATTTAATCCTTAAGGGTCACTCCTTGTACGCAAAGTGTACCCATCTCAACTAAACAGTAAATTAGACAATCAACTCGGCTAATCTAAGGCCGTCCAATCAGTTTGCTCTTGTGTTTTCAGAGCGATCACACCTAGTAGTCGACGAGCCTCTAAAAATCCAGATGTTTCAGGCTCGCCAACCAATGTCGAGGCAAAAAACCACCTGATGCGCTAGATACGACCAGCTCGCTGACGGTCCAGTAGAATTACGCCTCCAACGCCAACGGAATTCGTCGGCGTTGCCCCAGGAAAATCCGTCCACCCTAAGCCAATAGGAACGCTCCAAGGAATCTGATATTCTCTTGAAATGCGGAGTTGATACACAGGTGGAGAGGCTTGTGACGTGGCGATGTTTACTCAGTCGCTGCATACGCCAGTCAAGCCGCCCATGCACAGTACACAAAAAGCAACGCCCCATTTTCTGGGGAAACCCCATAGTCCACGTTGCCCCTACCGTACGGCCAGTATTTGTTAAAAGGGAAATCTCCCGCGTCGCCCCCCGGGTGCTCAGGGAATATGATTTGTAGTTGGAACCAAATATGCGACTCTAATACCTGCTATTTTAACGGATCCTTGGGTGTACTAGCCGAGGCCGTAGATTAGGGGCAAAGCCAGCGGAGGGGTGGCGGAGGCAGTGGCGGAGGTACTGTACCAGCAGTACTGTATCTCTAGGCTAGGGGCCATGGTGGGAAATTGGATTCTGTGGAAACGGGAATCCCAACCAGTGCAAGCAGCCCGAATCTGACCTGTCTGGCCTCCTCCAGAGGCAGTCACGCTACGATGCGACCACCTTCACATGTCCAGCTCGCAAGTCATCGCCTGATGAGTTGCCAGCCATGTAACCGTGTATTTTGTCGTCACCGCATGAAAGCGAAAAGGGCGATTGGCAGAATTCCCACGCCTTCGCAGTGGGCTTGGGGGGCTGCGCTAGCGAAGGAACCAGCATGCCTTCCCCTCCCCAGCTGCACGGACCGCGTCGTTCTTTGGGTTTGTCTTGTCTTGTGAATATGTTTTCACGACACCACCGTCAAGTGTTACCAGCTATCCTGCTCGCCAGCCAAGCATCTCGTGAAGTCAACCGTTGATGGTTGATTCCGGCGCACGAGGTCGGGAGGTGGTTGGTTGCGAACCGCAAGCTTCCAACATGATGTCGTCACGTGGCGCCGAGGCTTCGCAAACAATATCCCAGCACATCGGGACAAACACACTGTGCTGTGCAAGGTGAAATCGACAACTGCTGCTGCTCGCCACACTGCCACACTGTCCTGCACTGTGACCCGCCTGAGGTGTCAGTCATCCTCCCGCCATCAATATCCCACAGGCGAACTGTTTCGTTGCACTGCATTCCACTTCGCTCTATGGCGTGTGCTAGCAAGGGCAAGTTTTCTGTACCCGCAATTCTGGTTCGATATAAGAGAACTGCCTGTTTAAGGCCTGATCATGTTTAGCTCAATTAGGTTTAAGGTTCAGGTTTAAGTTAATACCTAAAAACAGTACGCTAGCAGCAAATGTACACCTTTTCAATAACTAGTCAGTGTAAATCCTCACGCCAAGATTCACAAAGCTCCGAAGTTACTAGCAAGTCCATTCCCATGACGCATCTGACCCCTGCTCAAGCTAGTCTGGTTTGCCTCCATCGCTGGATGCCAAAAGGACGCACCAAGCATCGACTTGCCCTGCCACAGCAACTGCACCCCCCCCATGGGATGACTCGCCACCGAAAACCCCTTGGAATACGGCGCCAGCATCTGCCCCAACGCCGCCATAGTCCTCTGTGAAAACGGCATGGCAGCAAACCCAATCCGCCTCATCCTCTCCTGCAATTGGTCGAGAGTCTCCGCCCGCACCACTCTTTGCAGCCCCTCGCACGCCACCAGGTTGATCATCTCTCGGGCCAGCACGCGCTCCTCGAACCCGCGGCGGCCGAAGGCGGCACGCGAGGCGAGGTGCTCGTGGGAGTGGAAGACGTTGGCGAAGAAGTCGAGGCAGTCGCGGAAGCGGTGCAGGAAGAAGGGCTGGCGGTGGTTGGCGTCCCACTCCACTATGGTTAGTACCTTGGGCGCCAGCTGCAGGATGGTCTGAAAAAAGGGGGGGGGGTAGGGGGGGGTTGAGGGGGGAGGAAAGAGAAGCAGACAGTTGGGAATGCAGGGACACGATGAGGGTGAATGGCAGGATGGGAGGGGAACAAAGAGGAGGAATGCAGGGATGGAGATGACGCTGTGGTGGGAGTGTGGAGGCAGTGGGCAGGGAGTTGAGAAATACAGATAGTGTGGTGGGAAGAATAAGGCACTGGGAATGAGACGGTGGGACAGACGGGGAACGAGGAAGGGAAGGCGTCAGGGCAGGGCAGGGTGGGGAACGGGACGTTGAAGCCGGCAACACCCCCTGCACAGTTCAACAGGGGAGAGAGCAGCAAAGGGACGAGACATACCGAGAGCGCAGTGTCCTTGGGGCTGGATCGCAGCACTGTGGAATCTGCCAGGTTGGCCAGGCGCCCCGCGCAGTTCACCACCACGGCCTCGCCGCGCTCGATGCCCAGCACAGCGGGTCTGAGCGTCTCGGGGCGCGCCTCCACGCGGTGGAAGGAGAGCGCCACGCCGCACTGCGCCGCCGCCCCGCTGACCTCCGCCTGCAGGAAGGGGATGGGGATCTTGGGCCCCGCGCCCCAGGGGTGCCCAGGCGGGGGCTCCACTGCCGTGTACCGGATGTGGAGAGGGAGAGGCCCAGAGCACGTGCTGCAGAGGCCGGCGGGGTTGCTGCTGTTCCCTGCTGTGCTGCGCCCGTTGCTGCTGCTGCTGCCGTTGCTGGCGCCACTGGCATCAGCTGCGCCGCTGGTAGTGCAGCCGCTGGTGCAGCTCTCTCGTCGCCGCCGGGCGGCAGCGGCCGCCAGCTGGCGGATGACGACGGGCCACTGGCCGCCCCACATGGCGAAGTCGACGATGTGCACGAGGGGCTCGCTCTCCACCGCGTCGAAGATGCCGCACGCCATGGTGGTGTAGCAGTGCTGCATCAATGGGTTGCGCGCCGCAAAGGCCAGAATCAGTGCTTCTTCCTGGTTGGCGGAGAGGATGGGGGCGGGAAGAGGGAGGGGTGTGAGAGAGAAGGGGGCATGGTGGGTTGAGGGCGGTTGGGAGGGGAGAAGCCATAGATGTCGCATGCCATGGTGGTAAAGGTACTTTGTCAGAGGGGTTCCTCCTAGTGGGGAGAAGGGCAGGGAAGGGAGTGGATGGTGAGAGTGGGAAGGGCCTGTTGAAGCTGAGCGAAGACAATGGTTTGGATGGGTAAGGGCGGAGAGTGGAAGGGGAGGGTGAGAGGGAGAGACGGAGTTAGAACAAGAGGGAGGAGGTAAGCAAGAGGTGGGAGCAGGAGGAAGAAAAAGGAACGCAACTGTGCCATCCCATCCCCATGGGCTTACCTCGGCTGTCTGCAGGGGCTCCACCACGTACTCCTCCCCAAGGCTGCCCGACACGCGCTTCCCCAGCGCGCCCAGCAGGTAGTGCACCACGCGCTGCATGGGCGTGCCGTGGGGCGTGGCGTCCGCGTGCAGCAGCCGCGTGAGCGCCGCCATCTCGCCCTGATCGCTCGTGGCCACTGCCTCCGCCAGCTTCAGCAGCCGCGCTCGCAGCTCCGCGTCCGACGCAGCAGGCGCGTGCACCGCGCGCACGTCCTCTGTGCACCCGAAGACGCTGGGGGACGCCGGGATGGGCATGATGGGCGTGATGGGCGTGATGGGCGTGATGGGAGTGACCATGGGAGGCGTGGGGAAATTGGGCGGCACTTGCTGCGCCGATGCTGCCCGGAGGGCCTCCCAGATTGGGAGGCTCTGGTCCAGAGGAAGCTTCCTGGCAGCAGCGAGGTATTGCTCCAGGCCCGGGTTTACGGTTACAGATGGCAGGCCTCCTGCCCCGCCTCCTGCCCTACCTGCCTGCATCTGCAGCACCTGCTGCAACTGCTGCATCTGCACTTGTTGCACCTGCTGCCCCTGCTGCCCCTGTTGCCCCTGCTGCCCCTGTTGAAAGCCATGCAGCTGCTCCCGGTGCTGCGAGTGCGAGTGCGAGCGCATGGCATCGAGGGACGCGAGCAGCGAGGGGTCCATTCTGAGGCGCACCTGCGCCACCATGTCCAGGTCCGTCGCCAGCGCCGACCCCGCCGTGCCCCCCGTCATCCGCACCACCCCGTCCATCGCCCCCGCCTCCGCCACCCGCCCCGCCGCCGCCAGGAACGACGCTGCTGCGCCCGCGCCCTCCCGACCACCCGCCAGTAACCCCCCTCCTGGGATAACCCCACCACGTCTAGCACCGACGCCCTGCGTTTCTCTCACCGCACCTGCCGCGGTTTCGGTAGCTCCTGCTGGGGATGGCTGAGCAGCCACGCCAGCGGAAGCCCCAGCGACTGTATCGGCATTGCCAGCAGCAGCCAGTCGGTCGGCGGCGGTGAGCGCGTGCTCCAAGGCGTGGCTCTCTGCGGCGCGCATGGCTCGCATGCTCTCGAACTCGAACTCGCGACCGAACTGGGAGTCCACCAGGGGGCGCTTACCTGCCGCATCATGCTGCTGCTGCTGCTGCTTCTGCACTTGTTGCTGCTGCAGCAGCTGCAGGTGTTCTAGCAAAGCGCGCTGCTGCTGCTGCTGCTGCAGCAGCTGTGCGGACGCACCCCCTCTGCTCTGCCCTGCAGCCTGACCCATCCTCTGCTGCAGCAGCCGCTGCAGCTCGCGTGCCTGTTCCGTTCCCCCCACCGCCATCTGCTGCGGCACTGGCTGCCGTAACACCACCTGTTGCTGCTGCTGCTGCTGCTGCTGCTGCTGGTCGGTTGCGCGAGGCACCAAGGGCTGCACCAGAGACAGCGACTGCGCCAGCAATCGCTGCTGCTGCGTCGCCAACGCGGGAAGCGCCTGCCCTTGGACCTGCGCGGCTAGATTCCGCGCTTGCACCAAGGCTTGCGCCTGCCCTTGCTCTTGCGCCTGACCTTGCGCGAGCGCCTGCGCCTGTGCGGCCTTCTTAGCGCGCGATTTCTGCGCCTGCATTCGGAACGCACTCGCTAGACGCTGCGTCAGATCCGCCGGCTTCACCACTCTCGGTGGCTGAGGCCTCTGAGCGCCCTGAGCCTGCATCTGCTGCTGCTGCTTGCGCTGTTCCTCCTCTCCGCTCTTTGCGCTGCCGCTGCTCGCATGCGACCGGGATCCGTCGTTCTTCGTCGCACTGGCGACGCTCTGCGATGCGGTCCCCTGCAAAGACTGCGACTCCGTTTCGCGCCGCGGAGCTTCGGGAGCTTCGTTACATCGGCAACGCGGGAATTTCTGGCACCTAACGGAATCCCCGCCGCGAACCTCGCTCTCGCAAATCGACGAGACGACAGAGCGACTGGGCGAGTTGGTCTGCGACCCGCGCGACAACCCTTCGGCGTGCAGCTTCTTCGCGCGCGCTTCAACGACAGCTTCAGCGACATGTAACTCGCTTCTAGTGTTCGCCAGGGAATCGTTCGAGGCGAGACGGCTATCGTCGCGACGATTAACGGCTTCTAGCCCCGACGAATCGCGTTGAGACGGCCGCATGACGAGCGCATCGCCAACGGGAGCGCGTTTCGCGTCAGGACCATTGTCTGACGCCGCCCCTCCAGAAGCGAACGAAGTCTTTCGGAGAGTTGAGCTGAGAGGAGCGCTCAGGAGATCCAGATTCCACCCGACCGTCGCCGCAGGCGCAGCTGGCGCCGTAGGAGCAGCAGGAGCAGCTGCAGCAACGGAAGCGCCAGGTCGAGTCTTTTTACTTGGCCCTTGGTTCTGAACTCTTGCTTCCTTCTCCGCAAGCTCGGGGTGCGCTGGAAGCTGAGTGACGCCTGTGCCAGGGACAGCGGAAAGCAAGGGAAAGGGAAAGGGCCAAATATAACAATAGAAACGAAGCGGTTTGAACGGAAGTGTCAGGAAAGTGCCACATTGGAAAGAAGAAACCATGGAAAGCACAGAGGAAGATGGCACAAGAAGTCGTTCTACCTTTCAACGGCAAATTCGTGGCAGCAGCACGGCCGTGGTTATGAAGGATGTCAGACTGAAGCAAGTCGTATTGCGCGCCGGCACGGCCCGTGGTAGACGGAAATAAGTCATCCGCGAAACAGAGAGCAGGGTCCGTCCAGGCGGGGTTGGGAATCGCCACGTCAGTCAGCAATCCGTCCGAAAGTCCGTCCTCGTGAAAAGGAGACGACTGCTGAAGTCCAAAAGCGTTCTGGGTGTGATTGTCGCTGACATGCATCTGTGGAGCCATATGGAGCTCGTCCGACGGAAAGCTAGTGTCAGGCTGGGCCTTTCCAGCGACGCTGCCGTAAAGCCCGCCGTTCTCCACGCCTCGTCCGCTCCAGCCGTTCGCCTCGTCGACGCCGGGACTCAAACCGTCCATAAAAACCATGGAGCCCGGCAAATCACCCAGGTTAGCAGGCCACGCTGCAGCTTCCGTGAAGATAATCGGAGCCATGCAGAGGCGACAGTATAATCAGCCAGCAGGGTGCACTCATAAGATTCATAAGTGCCCGCTCAGCTCAGCCAGTTCTGTACAGAAGAACTGAGGTGCCACTGTAGCCGTTACAGTTTCTGCCTGACATGAGAGGGCCAATCGAGAACCAAGAAATGACTCCTCTCCTCGCAGAAGTGTGTGGGTTCAAGCCGGAAAATAGAAACCTCAGGCTCAATCTCCAGATGGGTGTTATAAGCTGCGGTAAGATACAGTACGTTTCCGCTGTGGTGATCGAGGGTAGCTCTCGAGCCTTGCCACTCTGGAATCGCCCTTGTACCTGATGTAACACGCCCTGAGAGCAAACCCCCCTGATGATCCTCTCCTCTCATCTCCTAGGTTGAAATAAAACTTCCTCGCTGTGTCTCCTCCGAACCCCATCGTACTGTGCGCTCCTGAACATTCCGTCAGAGGGCGCGTTCTAGAGAGAGTGTAGAATCCCAGGGTTTAGTGAGAAGACCCGAGGCTGGAAAAAAATGTCTTGCGTCCAAGAGGAAACTGACAGTGTCTGCCAGGTGGCCGACTAATAAAAACGTCGTATGGATGATCGCCTGCCAATGTTAGACCAGTAAAACTCAACTGTAGCATGCCCGCGTGCTTTCAGTTCAGTCACACGTCGCTTTTGCGACAAATTGTCTGCTGCGCTGTCAGGTACACAAAACCCGCAGTTAGATTGTGACAGTCCGCGGCTCCTTCGGCTGCGGGTCTACCTCGGGTGTGACACTCGCTCAGTGATTTCCCTGAAAAGTCATGCCTCTTCCACTCTGCATTTTCCTTTGGGCCGGGCAGGGCCAAGCATACATTTCTTTCCCGTCACAGGTGACGGGTCGTTCTCTCTGCCAGTCCTTCCAGCTGCTGATTGGACTGATTGGATTGGATCGGACGGGAGAACACACACGACACGGCCCCTCGTTTCTTCGCCCGAAAGGTCAGCTCCACAACAATCGAGTTGAAGCAAGTGTGGTTGGGCAGGAAGTTCGCCAAGTGGCGTTTGTTGATGAAGCGTGTGAGGGAGCAGAAGCATGGATGCCTGGTGGACTGTAGAAGAGCATTGCGCATGCACACGAATCTTTGGGTGATTGTGTTACATAAGGCCAGGTAGGGCGCGTGCGTTCTATTTGAAAACACTCCCTAGTTCAGATATGCGAGCAGGGGTGTCATTGACTGTACAGTAAAATGTACTGGCCCCTACAGAATTTGGGGACTTCTTGATAAATGGGCAACTAGGACGGACAGGGCGGATTCCCAACCACGCCATGTTTTGTAGGTGTACATTTGAGCTGTGCTTGGTAGCCGGTGTCGTGACCCCCGAATTAACCACTCTGTGGAAGGTGACGACTGTAAATTTGTAGCCAGCAGTGACGTCGTTTGTTCTCCTTGTTTTGCGGACAAAAGGAAATCGGCGCCGGATGCCAGCCAGAGCTTTTCCACCGACAAGAGGGATCTGATCATAGCGCCAATGTTCAAGATTGGGCTGCTGACAGTCGAGAGCCTGGACACCACCAGCCTTGTTTTCCTAATACAGTTGCCCTCCATTCAATCGTCCAGCGCAGTGCTGTGGAAGCGTATAAGGGTCGACTATTCTGAAAGGTTCAATGCGTTCTGAAAATATTTACTGCGGTGGTTATTATTTAAAAAAAAGTGGTACCGTACAGTGACTGTTCGGTTCGGAAGATGTTCGAGAAAATGCCACATGCCCTAAAGGTGTATCTTGTTACTGCCCCTCAAGGTTCAGGGAGGCCCTTGTGACAGTAGTGTAACACACTAATTCTGGTGGTCGATGTTCGGTAGCCTCGGAAAGGCAGGAAACAACAGAAAAAAAATCCTAAACATGCTTCTCTTACTATCAATCCCTACGCTGCACCTCTAGTTTGCGGCTACAGACCATGATTTTCTTTTTTCAAACGCTTTGGCAATCGTACACCTGCCAAGTGCGGAGCCGATGATTCTAGACTGGTGTGAGAACTTTATATGTGAAACGTTATTCCTGGAATATCAGGGAGAGCCCACGATGGTGAAAGAAGGAAGAAACCCGAGAGTGAAAGAGTGTCAGCAGGTGGCCCTTCAGCCCGAAGACTGTACAGTGCTGTAGTGGAACCCACTCATCGCAGTGCGTTTACTGTTAGGGAAAGACAGAAAGAAAGAGCTCGCAGCAGCTCCATGAAATTGGCTGGCGACAGCTGTTCTGTTTTGCCCGTGGATGCCGTTGAGTTGAGGACCACGTGTCGTCGTGATCCATCCATACATAGCCGCCGACCAATCGTTAGGCTGGCATCAAGCAGGCAACAATTCCTTGGCTTGGACCACAAGCCCCATTGGCCAGTTGGCTGCTCAAGCAATCAGCAAGGTGGCGAGACGAGCAAGCGTGTGACTGTAGGAGATTGTACTGCACACCCGCTCTATGCTAAAACTGAACAACTGTTTTACGCGGCTAGAACCTATTCCCCGAACATTTCAAACCCAGGGCAACCGGACATCAGCACGGAATTCGCAGGGACCTGTCATATTCTGTAAGCGCAAACTCCAAGAAAATGGGAAATTGCACTTGGCGATTTTGGCCGTACACCAAAGGAAAAAAAATCATTAATCTCTTCCATAAATCTTGTATCTAAAACGTTTGCAAACACTTCAGCGGCAGGGACCTGGCCTTAGTTTGCCAAGTCACGCACATTTCGTAATGTGTTTCAACACTTAGTTACATTATCGCACCCAGTTGAATGCATTGTCTCACAGACAGATAGGCTTCAAAACATTAACAAAATAAATACGTAACAATAAACATACTCGAAAGTATGCAAAGTTGAGAACAACAAAGAGTAACGTAATACAAGAAGAAGATGGATCATCATATCGAGACCACCGCACAACTCATTGATAAGAATTACGTAGCTGACAGGGCCTATTATTGGATTTTTACTACTCTGAAATCAAGGAGTGGCTTTTTTCAGCTCTTTGAAAATCAGAGTGCTCCCCAATGGTTTCTCTGATTTTCCAAGGTTTTTTTATATTTCTCAAAAATTTACACTGACAAAGCAGAGGTGTTTTTTAAGTAACTCTATATAGTATGGTCCTCTAGGCGTGTGGGGCAAGATCGGGAGATGGGGATTGGAACAAAAGGGAAGTATCGAGAGACTGCAAGGGCATTGCAAACCAAGATTGCTGGGGCGGAGCGGAAGGAATCGAGTTGGCATGGGAGGTCGACACAGCAGGGGCGGGGAAGGGGAATGTTGCACTCCCCCTGCGAGCACACGTGAAGGGCTCAAGACGCCTTCACACAGCCAACAGCGCATCTCGCTCGACCCTTAGATTTGGTGAAGGGCCCATCAGCGCCCTCATACGCCTTCCAGCACAATTGGCGATGTGATTTTGGTGAAGGGACATTTGGCCCTCTCACACAGCCTTGAGTACAGACCCGACGATAATTTCGCTAGTGTGTGTGACATGACGCGTTCTGCGGGACACAGGGGCACAGCTAGGTATAGGGGGCAGGGACATAATTACAGATATATAGTGCCCCCTATAGACGGACCATCAGAGGGGTACAGAGGTTTACTCTTATAAAATCATAGTAAAAAATATGTTCTTTTTTTTTTTCTCAGGACTCCTAGAGTGGTTTTCAAAAACGACTCTAATTTTCAAAGAAACATAGTAAATTACTCTGATAAAAGAGGCCTTGGTAGCGGAACGCCAACTGATTTCGTCATCGCATATGGCACGTGTCTACTGGTGAATGTGGCGCTTCCGAGTCAATCCATGAATAGTTGGATCAAAACGGACGGAGTTGTTTGCGTCTCTGATACATTGCGATCACATTTGGTCGTCGACCACTCAGGAGCGTAATAACCTTCATCCACACGGCTTCTATTGGTGGCGTATACTAACAATAACAATAACAATTGTGAAAATTTTGCTCTTGGTGTCATTGCACTAATAGAATATCACATGTATTGGGCTGACAATACCCCTAGGATCTTCTGTATAAATGAAGTCCTCGTAAACAGAGTGCTTGATAGCACAACAGAAATCTGAGTGAACCCTTATATTATTATGTGAGAACAAGTGATTGATTATAGCAAAGAGATACAAGGTTATACGATGTATAAGATAATATGAAATGTCTAACTAACCGTGCACTTAGAGGGGTACATTCCCTTTACGACTCGATCAGAGCGACTCGGGTAACCACTCGTGCTGTAATACCGGGACAGTTATGTGGCCCTGCTATCACGCTGACTTCGACTCGTATATTTCTTACAGTTGGGTTGCAAGGTCAACGGTCTGCGACCCGTGCCTTATTACAACCTCTGTGAGATGTCTTCAACATGCGTCAACCATCAGAGGTACTGTAGCAGGTTTGACTCGGCAATCCTCGATGCTGCGGTTATCGTGTACTTATACAGCACACCAAACTTTTATACTTTTAGGTCCAAATGGCCCAAATGCTGAAGGGGCAGTGCTGGCGAAGAGATTTCGCCAAAGCGAGAGATCTAGGGTTCGCCAAGCTCACCGAAGCGGGACTAACGTTGAAGTTGAAAGGGAGGGGGAATAGAAATCTGGGGGGGGGAATCGAAATTCGAGGAGCTGGGAATCGAATTTTGAGGGAGGCTCGTCAAGGTCAACTTCTTTTTATGCCGAGGCAAACGCGCGTGCGCTAGCGAAACCTCCAGACGGGTCCTGATTGATGGCGATGTTGTCGATGTAGTGGTTGATGGTCAGGTTAATGTAGTAAATCACGTCACTTGCTGCCACTGTTTCCTTGTCTTCCATGTCAAAGGATTTCCATGCATTGTAGTGTTTCTCAATGCCGAGATGTAGTCCCATGTTGCCCGTTGTAAAAACCTTCCAGTGCGTGCAGTGTGCCGTCGATACTGTACCGTGCAGCCGAAAACTCGCAAAAGTTTTGTGCTGCCCTGCTTCCCTGTCCACAGCCGATGCGCTGATGCATTGTTTGGCAGAGAGCTAGACGATAGAAGATTCTGCAGCATTACAGTGTGGTCCATCGCCTCCGTCCATTGGGAGTTTGGCAGTCGCATGCCACGTAGGAGCTTCTTCGTGGTGTTCTGGAGCGTCCTTTTCATCCTTTATACTATACTGTTCTATGGATGAGTGTAGGGGAGGGTTAAGAGTCTCTTGATTACCCTCTCTGT